CATTGGACTCGGTCATCGGAGATAATGAGCACAGGAAACACGGGGATGGGTTGGGGCATATGGGTTCGGCATGGTTTCCTGGGTAAGAGCCCGGAAATATGGGTAATTCGGGCCCTGCTCACGCATCCCAAAGGCTGCCTCAAGGCACGTTGGCTGGTCCAGGATGACGGGTTATTGACAGGTTTTTGCGTTGTTCCACTAGCTCTTACTAATGTTTTTGCGCTGTTGATATCCTTTTGGTTTTTTTATTTTGCAGTTGTTGGTTCTTTTTTTCCCTCCGTCTTTACTTTCGAACATTGTCTGCTCAATTGGCTCAACCAGATTAGTTTGCTCCTCGTTTCCTCGTCTTTTCGGATCTTGCGCGCATTCTGCTTGACTTGTTTGGCTTTGCTCAGATACCTTGTGCGACCTACAGATTGCAGTATTTGCTTCCACTGGAATTTCATCGTTTTGACTTTGATTTTAATTGTCTCTGCTCTGGAATGCACCATCGGCATGAGTGGATGGAGAGAGAAGGGATCACAGCAAATATGGGCCTGGAAGCTGGGGCGACGATGTTGTCCTGCACTGTTGATCGGTCGAAATGAGGTGGAGGAGTAGGCTTCTTGAGTACATGTGTATAGATAGTTTCCCAGGAGTCGAGCATTGAAATATCACTTCTCCTCATTGGCAAACCCACGCGCGGGTCATTCTTTGGCTCACCGCTCCGGCTGGTGTTACATTACAATAAGCAGAACCTAATTATTAAGCTTCTCAAAATCATCATCGTCGAGAGGTCCGTCGCTTGGTTGACAAAGGAAGAATTCGATTGTTGAAGGAGTTGCTTACGCTAACTTGTTTTAGGTCACAGACGAGCGTGTCATAACCTCCGTGCTAGAGAATAAGGACCCTGTACCAGCCGAGGTGTCAGTTTTCTTGTGAATCGCACAGTGACATAGACCTGTTCTACCTGTCACAACCCATCAGTGAGCAAGTATTGTGTTCTTCCCACAAACTTCACTCTAGCAGTGGAACACTGCGCAGGGTCTGGCCTGGCCCACTTGATGTCGACTGTTGACGCGAGGTGCCGGCGGGTGATCTCTCAGGAATCGCACACCACGCCGTCGTGGAAGGCCGGAACGTCGAGGCAGCAATTGGATGCGTGATCGAGCTCGGGGGGCTTTCTCGAGCCTCGAGTGACACGAAAGCCACACTTTAACTTGTGGAAGAGACATCGAACGGGAAGACACAACGTGGGGCTTTTACTGGGCAGACTCAGCTTTGCAGCGAAGGTTGGCGTCTTCGTTCCTTGTTCTTTCTTTGTTGGCCCTCAGTAGACTTCTAACGTGGTGGCTTTGGCCTCGACCGTGGAACGCCTTCGGCCCCGAGTCGAACTGCAGAGTACGACGCCCGCTCGAGCCCACCACCACCTCCGCCAGTCCTATCCTTCGTCCAATCCAGCTCATACGTCTTGCAGGGTGAATAATGCGACGAGACGCGACACGACGTAACACCAACTGGTGTGGCTGGACCGCCACCACTCCCTCGGACACACGGACAGGGAAGCTAAAGAGGGACGGTAGACATTTCGGACCATCCCTGATTCCCAACCGGTTTCCAGGCTTCAGCCCGTTATAGTTGCCGTGGTTCTTTGTTCAGTTCGTCCAGCTGAGTACGTTAGAGATCACTTTGGGAATCGCGAGAAGAGCGGTCTGCAACGGTCATTACTGGCCCATGTTTCGTGTCTTTGAACATTGTCAAGCTTGTCCTCCTCCATAGTACCAACCACAGCTCAACGATGCTGGCACACGTTTCCAACGTGTCGAACGGCTCGAACGGCTCGAACGGCTCACTCCTGTCTTTGTTCGCCAACTGGTCTCCCCTTTGACCTCCAACAGCTCCCAAATGTTGACCGTTCACCAGCTGCCGATTCCATGGAGACGGCCATCCTGATTGGCGTAGAATCTAGAGGGAGGGCTGTATTCTGGCTTGTGGAGGAATCCAAGCCATGGAAGCGACGGTGGTACAGCGTTGCCTTCTCCCGATCCTTGTGCGTCCCAATCGTGCTCCTAACAAGTACATAGTCCGTCGATGATCCCCGCTACGTGGTTGTTTACTTCCGTCCGTTCGGTTTTGTGTTGTTCTTGTTTGCTAATCCGCCGTCTTTCGTTACCCCTCTCAGTCGCTTCGCCTGAGCGTCGTCTACCTCCACTCCATTTCATCCCATCACCTCTCTATTTTTGTTTATGCACGCCTGGACTGGTTGCCTGCGTGCTTAGACTTCCTTCAGTTCTGTCAAAAGTTTGGACGACGATTTGTGTACTCCTCTGGCAGTAGTACACGTGAATAAAGACACCCACGCAACCACATACCCCACGACAGCAGTCTGGACAGCAATCACCATGAGGAACATTGCCGAGATATGTGTGGCGATGGCCGGTCTTCTGGCCCCCATCGCCCAGGCTGCCTGCGAATGCGGTTATGCAGCCAACATCACAGGCACAGTCGAGATTTTTACCGACCTGATCGAGACCGACTTCACAAAGATAAAGGATATCAGGAACAACACCGACTGGGTGCGGCAGGACTTCAACAAGACCAACGCGAATGCAAGGGGGCCTCTAGGGGAGAAGTTCGTTCCCACCAACGTCGCCACCTCATACAATGCAGGCTCAGGTTCTTTCGCTTCGACCAAGATGGATGCCGGTCTTCAGCTTCTCGTAGAGAGCGAAACAGTAGATGGACTAGTGCCGGGCGCAGAGATTGACTCGGCTCGGAATGATCTACAATACGGTTCCTTCCGGGCTATGATGAAGGTCCCTGATGTTCCGGGGACTTGTGCTGCTTTCTTCTGGGTAAGATTCCTTGGCTCGCCGATAATTCAAGACATATTGCTGACAGTGAATGCAGTATTATAATGACACCCAAGAGATTGACATGGAATTCCTCACGCGAGAGTTCAATGCGGCAAACAACTCGTATCCTGTCAACATTGTTCTGCAATCGCGCGAGTCCCTGGAGAAGGGCTACGACGCTACAGGAACAGGAAATTTCATCAAGGCAAACCTCGGCTTCAATCCTACTACTGGCTTTCATGAGTACCGCATCGACTATCTTTCCGATGAGGTTATCTTCTACGCCGATAGTGTCATAATTGGAAGCATGAACGGCAGTGCCGTGCCTGTCGAGGGTGGCCACTTGATTCTCCAGCACTGGAGCAATGGAAATCCTCTCTGGTCTGGCGGTCCGCCCAAGAAGGACGCAATTCTTGCAGTGGCTTCTGTCAAGGCCTATTTCAACTCATCCCTTGACTCTCGCAAGGCCGACCACCAGGCTCGTTGCGTCGATCTCTCAGCACCCGACGCCGTCTGCACCATACCCAGCGACCCTTCCTTTTTCTTTACTGCTCAGACGAACATGACCAACAACCAGACCGTGTCAGGACAGCCTAGCCCTGATGGTCACGAGGGCCAGGGGGGTCAGCAAGGTTCTGCCTCGGCAGAGACTCCTTCATGGCCTCTGCTTGTCAGCCTGTTGTTCATTGGTGTCTGGTTCATCTGACCTTTCTTCCTTCTGCTGGCATACCCAGAAGGCTGGCCCTGCACGCGAATTTTGTAAATGGGGCTCCTTGTTTCATGTCCTAAACGATGATCATGATGATTCTTCTTCTTTTGGGGCTTGCAGCGTGGCGAACGGAGTCTACGGCAGGCTAGCCACCAAACGACTATGTGTATATTTACCGTCATGATGATGAAATTTATAAGATACATCTCACCTGGGGTTGAATTGTCAAAAGACCTGTCTGCCCCGCATTGATCTGCGTCGGCATCGAACACCTGCAATAGTTCTGTATCACCGTTGCTGAGGATTGAGCGGACGAGACCGTCACAGCCCGCCATTGGGGCTCGGGGCGTGCCTAGTTGACCACGCCGTCACTTGGCCGATTTCGAAACCTCCCACCAGTCACATTGTCATTTTCCTTTGGGAGAGCTTGAAAAACGCTATCATGATCGCAGTAAGTGTCATGTTCGGTAGTTGGGCGATAACGACAGTCTCATTTCACGCTAAGGCAAACCGCCTGCCGGAACATTGATCTGATGACTCTGACGAGCCAACTTGTTAGCTAGCAACGGACGTGTCTCGAACCTCCGAATCTGCCCATGGCCTGGGACCACCCTCCAATTTTCTCCAACGTGGACTTCATTGCGGGGGATCAGCAGCACATGTATGCGGGCTCCTCACCATCTTCGGTGAGGCACATGAACAGCGGGAGGAACAGACGATCGGCAACTACTGGTCGCTCATCTCCGCGTCAGGCTGCTGCAGTGTTGCAGTCCACCTCCGTGGCCTCGGCTCTTGCTGGGCGGCTGATCCGTCTGGTACCTCTGCGGAAGAATGCGGCCGAGACACTTTTACCCCGGATTTCCCCTGTGCGCAACATCGTCGCGATTATCCCCCTACCGATCCCAAGTGACTTGACGGCCTTCTCTGCCTCTTCCCAACCACCAGGGCCTCAAAGGAGTCATTTGTCTCTGCTCCTGACGAATTGCGCTTCTTTCTCATGCTCCACTACCAGGTCGACGTATTAATGCAGAGCAACCCGGCCATGTGCTGCATGGTAACGGGGCCGTCAGATGGAGCTCCAAAAACCGGGCATGACGTTCCTACCAGTGGACACTAGTCCGCGCATCCATGTCGTCAATTCCGTCATCCCGTGAGGGAGGGAGAGTCCAGCGCATCGCACTTGCGCGTCTGTCTCTCTCGACGTTTGAATAGTCACCAGTTTCTCTTGTTGGATGGGTCAAGCACTCGCACATGGCCATCCCAGTCGGTCAGTTGCTATCGAACCAGCTTTTCCTTGCTGGCGAACGAAGGGATGCGTTGAGCACCTTCATCATAAAAGGATCAACCCAGACCCGCGGCAGGCCTGTATGCTGCTACTGTAAGATATCGGCGCATCAAAGCACAGCCAACAGACCCAAAAATTATCATAGCAGTTCAACTGCTCGACAATAGCAGACATGACGAGATCGACGGTCGACATTGTTCTGCAAAACAACACCGGCTCTTCCAACGCGTATGCCCACCTGACCGGCCTGGATATCAACAAGAACAATGCCGTATTCCTCCTCCAGTCCGATGGGGTTACTGGCTACTATCCCAGCTCGCCATCTGGGATTCTCCAACCGCTGGGTGCCGATTGTGCCATCTCGCTCGGGGCACCGGGGTCGACGCGAAAGCTGACGATCCCCCAGATTGCAGGTGGGAGGATCTGGTTTTGTCGGGACGGCCCGCTCCAATTCTTTTTGAACCCAGGCCCAGCCGTCGTCGAGCCTTCGGCCACCAACCCGTCCGACAAAAGTTACAATTTGGCTTGGGGCTTTGCAGAATTCACATTCAACAGTTTTCAGCTATTCGTCAACATTTCCTATGTCGACTTCGCGAGCATCCCGGTCTCACTCACTCTCGAAAACGACTCGGGCACCGTCACCAACGTACCGGGCCTTCCAAGCAACGGCCTCGATCAGATTTGCGAGAAACTCATTGCTCAGGATGCCACGGATAATGCCGGTTGGAGCAAGCTGATTGTCCGCACGGCTGACAATACGGCCAACTTGAGGGTTTTGAGCCCCAACTCCGGCATTGTCATGCAGCCGACTCTGTTTGACGGCTACTATCAGCCCTACGTCGATAGCGTGTGGCAGAAGTACAGCTCGGCAGACCTCACAGTCAACACTCAGGCTGAATGGGGCGACGTCAAGGGACGCGTGGGCTCCGGCAACCTCATGACTTTTGGCAACGCCGGATCGTTCGCACAGCCGGCCTCGAAAGACATTTTCAGCTGCAGCACAGGGCCGTTTGGCGGGTACCCCAGTAACCAAGCGGAGATGGGGGCCATTGGCGCGCGCATCGCGGCGGCTTTCAACCGGTCGACGCTCCTCATCGATGACCAGCAGCCAGAGGGAGAGCAGGTGGCCAACTACTACAAGGACACCCGGACGAATCACTATTCGCGCATCTGCCACGAGGTCAGCATCGGTGGTCGTGGTTATGCGTTTCCATATGACGATGTTGGTCCGTCCAACGGTGCTGACCAGTCTGGCTCGCTGTTCGACTCCAACCCCAAGGTTCTGACGGTTGGTATTGGCGGCGAAAGTACGTCGCCGGCCAAAGAAGAGCTGTAACGGTTTTGATGAGATCGCTCTCGGGCCTGTATATTTGTTGCCGTGTTCCAGCATATGGTCGAGACGTGAACGATGCTCGGATGTACATATGTTTGAAAGATGAACTTGCTTTTCTAAGATCGATGGTGCGATTGTATGTATAAGTTGAGTAACCCCAACTGGATAGCACCAATATATGCGATTTGCGCGTCGAATTAGCTCTGCCTGGAACACGGTACGACGGGAGCTTTTCGTCACACCTAGAGACAAGACACTAGGATTATCGGAATCCAGCCATCCGAGGATGTTGGATGGTGAATCCGCTCTAGCGATCATGGGCCAAGATGTGATTCGTTCTCTGGTAACATGGCTGGCTGTCAGCTTGTCTCGGCTCAGTCTCTCGAAAGCGGCACACTTCATGGTCAATGACCGAGTGTTGATCCAGTCGTGCTGGCTCTCGACAGCCGTCGTATGCCGGCCATTCACGGCAGGAACCGAAATAGAATGGGCAGAGCAGTGGGTGACATATGGAGGTGTACATCGCTTGGCTAGCTCGGTAAAAGAAACCGTTGAGGGCGGCGGGCTAATGAGCACGCGAGCTAAGTAAGCTAAGCGGCTGCGGTCCAGCTTTCCCGGAATCAATCCTGGCCATGCACGCTTCTGCAGCCATTCCCGCCGGGAACATGCTGCCTAAAGCCACAGCTGTAATGCGGTTTGTTTGGTTTGCTGTCTGCACCCGGTGACCTGTTCGTGATATGCCTTAGGTACTCACTCGCCAATGTGCCCAGCAGGCAGCGCAGATTTGACCGACCATCCACCAGCAAACGAATGAATGCACGGATACTCCGTACGCATGGATAAGCACAATGACACTAGGTGCATCGTCCATCGGCCCGCGGCGCGAAGAAATATGCTCTCTCGTTTGTGATGGCGCGACTGAGATTGATTGCGTAGGCTCCGTTTCTCCGTAATGGAAACAGATACTCGTGCAGTAAATCTGCCAGGCCTCGGCATTGGACCCAAAGCCGTTGGACCAAGACCCTGGCTCTGGCTGCCCGGTTCTAGGCTCACGAAGCCCCCGTCGCCACCGCTGCGTGTCCAGTCTTGCGTCCTCCAAGGGCTCTTCCGGCCCTGCAGATATCGCACCCCCGTCGCTGCGATTTTCTGTCTTTGTTCCGGAACGGCCTGAACGCACCTGCTGATGACAGCTGCGGAGGCGATAACGCACGCAGGCAGGCTCTGATTTTGTCGTTCCATTCTTCAAGGCATGCCACTGACATGCCCCAAACGCCCGATTGAACAACGCATATGTCGTCGACCTCCTGATAGATCCTTCGAAGATACCAAGAAGCACCCCCCTTTTGGCCCGTCATCTTGCATTCTCGACTCGAACTCGACCGTTGAAAGCTGGGCGCTCCTCCACGGAGCATGGTGATCTCCGACCAGCGCTGCCCGCTCTGCATGAATCCCGGTTTCTCTGCACATTTCATCTCCGCCTCGCAGCCCTCGCTTCTCCCCGCCCCGATCTCTTGTCGTAAAAATGGACTAAATCAAAGTCCGACGATGGCACCCCCCGAGACAAATCCATTCCGTTCGGCAGTCTTTGAGTACGGCCAACCTTTGCTGTCTTCTTCGAGACGACCCGCCGCCGATATCAAGCGAGCCATCTGAGTGAGGTTTCAACATGGTGTATTGTGGGAAGCCGTCCAAGGGCTGCTCTAGCTGCCGAGAGCGAAAGATCAGAGTAAGTGTGGGCTTGCAGGCGTGCTTCTCCATAGTTATCACCGCGGCCGAGCATGCCTTTCTGTCAACAGGAGCTCTTTCCGAATGCTGCTAGAAAACGGCACCCTGATAGCGTTGAGCCACGTCGACCTAACATGATGCTAACAATATTCCTCGTTAGTGTGATCAGAAAGAACCCGGCTGTGGCCAATGCGAGAAACGCCAGCAAGAATGCCCTGGCTACCGCAACCTTGTCGATCTTATGTTTCGAGATGAAAGCGCCCATGTCAAAAGAAAGGCAACCAAAACAAGGACCCGGATCTCTGGAAAGCCTCCCACAGCGTCAAACGCTCCAGGCGCCCCCGAGCCCCCGGGACTCAGCGGGAGCGCACCGTCCAGCTCCGGCACCGAGCCCGAAAACCCCGCTCCGTATCCCAGAACGACCACCAGAGCGACCGACGCTCGTCGAAAACCCGCCCTTGCGCTCGCTGTTATAACCCAGCCCGTTCCTGTAAGGAGCAGGCCGCGCCAGGCTCCCTGGCCATCACCACCCGAGCCTGCCTATCCTCCATCAAACGACGACAGCGACGATGAAGATAGCTCATTGCCATCACCAGAAGAAGGCAACTGGCCTACATCACCACCGACGACCTTGTTGTATGCGCTGGCACCCTCGTATCAGGAGCGTGGGACGGCGTTCTTCTTCTCTCGCTACGTTTCGGTTGATGAAAACGCGTGCTACCAGAACTATGATTTCGTCTTCGACATTTGGCGTCCAGCTAGCATACTTCCAAGTCGACAGGTTGATGGCGTCATGGCAAGCATGACTGCCGTGGGTCTGGCCGGCCTAGCTGACCTTACCAAGTGCCATCGAACGATGGATTGGGCACGCAGGAGCTACGGCACTGCTCTCCGTCTGACGAATGACGCATTACGGGATCCATCCGAAGCAGTCAAGGATACAACAATGCTTTCGATTCTCGTCCTCAACACGTATGAGATGCTCACCGGCCGAAGCCCACAGACAGTCCGGGCATGGCAAGAGCACCTAAACGGCGCTTCTGCCTTGGCAAAGATGCGCGGCCTCGCTCAGTTCAGGTCGAGGGCCGGTGTGCGTATGTTCATCATGCTGACGCACATCGCGTTGACCAGCTGTATCCAAAGGAGCTTGCCAATGCCCCCGTCTCTGGTCGAACTTCGGAACCAGCTGGGTATGCTTTCGCCGCCGGGTGACCCGAATTGGCGAATGTCGGGACCCATATACAGAGTCATGCAGCTGCGGCACGACATCAAGCGCGGAAAGCTCATACAAACAGAAGCAATCGTGGACCAGCTGGCTAAGGTCGACAACGAGTTTGTCGACATTATCGCAGACCTCCCAGAATCGTGGCATTACCGATTGGTGAGCCTCTCACAGTCCCACCCAGCAGTCTTCGATGGGTTCCACTGCCATGTGTATCCTGCATTGGGCCTTGCGGCTACATGGAACGGCATTCGATCTCTGCGAATGTTGGTGCACGAGACAATCATTGGAGAGCTCTGTAAAGATCTCGGCGAACAACCAATCCTCTCGTGGCCGTATGATGCAAAGTATCAGCTCGCAAAGTCTGTAGACGCGCTCGAGAAGCTGCGCGATGCCATCTTGGCTAGTGTTCCTCAGCACTTTGGCGTCGTCAACTACAATGACGCGAAGCCGGAAGACCGTGGGTTGCCAGTCACCCTCGTCAGGGCACGAAGGCCACCAGTTCGCGTCGTACCATCGCCGGCAACATCTGCGTCATCCTCCCCAGAGTGCCCATCTGCTGATTCACCTCCCCGTCCTGGATCTTTCAGCGGGCCTACTCTTCACGATCCCATCCAAATGGAAGGAGTGAGCAACAGTGCTGAGCGTTTCATGATACTTGCTTCGGCTAGCAACACTATTGTGTGGCCGTTATATCTGCTAGGGGTCTCGTCTTCCGCTACACACGAAGTAAGGGAATATGTAATCGACCGTCTGCAAGCGATACTCAAAGAGGCGAGTCTTCAACAGGCTGGCGGGGTGGCTCAGATGGTTCGGAATACCCAGGTTTCTATACCCTGGTCCGATTTGCCTTGGGATCAAATGCCGCAACTACCAACATCGCCACGTGTGTTGGTGTAGAGCCTAGCCTCTGAAGGCCTGAAACACGGCGCCCTAGAAATGGTAGCCTAGTCAGGTCTCTCCATTATATATCAATATACACACGACATAGTCAAGACATACAAGAGAGATTGCCGCACCGGTTGGCGAGGTCGACGCAAAGCTTTGGGGTATCTTGTCTATTTTGGTTTTTGGATTCTCGTTTCCTCACGTGACCCTAGATGCTCGGCTCCGCGACAGCCAGTCCTGACATTTCACCAGTTGTCGAAATTGCCGAAACCTCCACTCTTCATCTTCTTTCGTGACGGCTCCTCCCATGTATCAAGATCTTCTGCGTCGATACGTTTTGAGCCACTCTTCTGTGTTTTGAGGTACTTGCCTACAGTAGCACCGCCGTTTGCGGTCTCCACAGTGCCGTCGGCTTTGATTCTCTTCCCTGTCCAAGTAGTCTTGTCATCTTCTGTACCGCCGTTGAGCTCTATAGCCTGCTTGGCCTTCTCCAGCTCTTCGGTGTTGCTTTTCTCCTTCAAAAACTCCTCGAAGGGATCAAGATAGACCACAACCTCCTTCATCACGATCTTGTTCAGCGGCCTGTCAGATCCATCGGTTGGAACGTCCTCCATCTTTGACAGTACGTCAAGGCCACCGACAACCTTACCGAAAACAGTGTGCTTGTTGTCGAGATGCTTCGTTGGCCGATAAATGATGAAAAACTGGCTCGAATTGGTGTTCTTACCCTTGTTCGCCATGCTGATGATTCCTCGAGCATTATGCGTCAAAGGCCCGTCAAACTCGTCCTGGAAGTTCTTGCCCCAGATACTAGTACCGCCCTTTCCAGTCCCAGTAGGATCACCTCCTTGAAGCATGAAGTTCCTGATGTTCCGATGGAAAGCGACGCCTTTGTAATAACCCTTTTGGGCGAGTCTTGTGAAGTTCCATACTGCGCGCGGGGCAAATTCTGGATATAGCTCAACGTTCAAATCGCCCAAATTCGTTTCTATCCGGGCGTAGCCTTTGATCTTGACCCTTTTGGGGTTGAGCATGTATTCCTCGTCGGTCAACAGAGCCCGCTCGCCGCTTGTTTCTGGCGTCAAACCCGTGCTGGTGAAACTGGCGGCTGCTCTGCCAGTTGTGTACACTGCCGCATTGGCTGGTATTTTCTTATCCATGATCATGGACTTGCGTTGCACCGCAGAGCCGGGCTTGACGACCGCAGAAGTACGATTCACATCGAAGCCTTCGTCGCGTTTCTTACGGGCCTCTTCAACAGCTTGCTTAGCACGGAGGACCTTGTCGCCAATACGACCCAAAGCATTGATGTTGACATTGCCCTCCTTCCGCTCCTCCTCCTGTTCCTTGGTCAAAATGGCCTCTTCACCGTCCTTGAGAAACTTGAACTGGCTCAGATCCCTACTCGCAGCATTCTGCGGGTCTTGGAGAGTAATGATGTCGGCTTTGGTAAATTCCTCATCATCCAGAAGATCCCGCCAGTTCTTGGCCTTGACATTCATTCGCTCGACCGTGTCCCAGGCGAAGACGTTTGCATAGTTTCCGTGTCGGATCGCAACGATATGGGTGTTGTCTGTGAAAACCTTGAAGGTCACGGGATCAATCAAGTCGCCTCGACCATCGCTGAAGCCCGGGGTCCGCGAGTCGGTCTCGGCGTTCCTGGCGAAGTTGAGTTTGATGAGGTCTTTCGCATCGAGACGATCGCCGTTGACGGGATTTGTGCCATGCTTGTCTAGCCACGAGCTGATGACTTCAACGTCGAAAATGGTACCATCTTGGGTGCAGACGGGGGTTTTGAAGGGTTGAAGGCTGGCTGCGCAGAAGTTGAATGGCAGCCGTCGGAAGGAGCCTGGACGCGAGCGCGCATTGACGTTGGCGCCAGCACTGGCAGAGTATGCGTCAGATGAGGACCACTCCGAGTGAGTAATGTACAGCTTGTCGGTATTCTTGCCCATCGTAACGGAAAGGCGTCGTGGTAGTCGGGAACTGGGTTTGCGAGGCTGGATAGCGACGTCGTATGGGTGAAATGGCCAGCCCCATAGGTGGAAGTCAGTAAGCTTTTCTTACCTTCCACCTTTTGAGCCCAGCCACATCTAATTTATAGAGGTTTACGCTATACTATGAAAATTCTATTTATATTTTAATAGATACTTATTATATATTATAATACTATTTATAATAACTAAGAAAGCTTTAATCTAAGTTTATAAGAATATTATTAATAACTTTAATAACTTATAAATAACTTATTATATAAAATTATATAAAAAGAAAAATATAATTTTTTTTTCTATTTATTAATTATTTTTAATAAAATTAATTTATTATATTTAAATTTATATTAATTAAAATATTAATTATAAGAATAATTAATAACTAAATAGAAATAAAATATTATTCTATTTAAATAGTAAAAGAAAATAAAAATAAATTTAAATAGTTTATTATTAATATTTTCTCTAATATTATAACTAAAAATAATTATAAAAACTATTATAAATACTTTATTTATATTTTATAAATTACTATATATTTCTTATATTTATAAAATAATAAAATAACTATAAAGTATATCTATTTATAATTTTAGTAAATATATTAATAAATAAAAACTTTATAAAAACTTAATAATAAAGAGTTTAAAAAAGATATTAATAAATTAGAAAAAACTTTATAATATAAAGATTATATAAACGAAATAAGTATAGTAATAGCTATAGTTTTTTTTAACTACTAAAAGTAAGAAGAGAGAAATAAAAAGGGAAATAGAGTAGCTATAAAAGTAGCTTACGTATTAGTAGAGTTTCTAAAAAGTACACTTTAATATATTATGTTACTTTATAGTGAATGAGCTTTTCTTACCTAGTTGCTAAGCTTAGTAGCGGGGATGGCTGCTGCACCCAGTGCATGAAATTTCAGTGGGACCAATTGACGCAAAGATGGGTAGATACCAACCTGAGGTAGGTACTTCGTACGGTGCCTAATTAAGGTACCTACTCACTTGCACTAGCGGCTCTGGAAGCATCTCACTAAGGCTGGGAGGTAGGTGGTCTTCTCCAATGAAACCTTGCAGGGATTGCAGGTCCAGCAGCAAGCGTACGGATACGCAGTACGTAGGCAGGTAGGTACCTCGGAGCTTGGCACGTCCCTGTTCCAAGGTCCTCCCTTCCGTGGTCAGTTTCGCCAAACGGCTGCCAGCCTGGCACTGGCACACTTTGCTGCAGCAAGCCCAGCTTCATATTGTTCCCCGTGCAACGTATCCGACTTGGCCGGACTTGTCAAACTCCACGATCCGCCATCAGCAAGTCGCCTAGGTCCCACGTCGCAAAGCGCTTAGAGAACCGGCATGCTCGATACGACAACTGCTATTCCATATCTGTGGTAGACGCACCAATCGAGTCCGACACAGACCTGCTTCTCCTTCTCTCTACCCACCAAGACTTCTTCTTCCCAGAGCCGCCGACCGGTCGTTTGCCGACACCAAGCCCGCGATTCGAACCAAGGTCACGATGAAGGGCTGGCTTTGGGCCTCTGCCTTGGGCTTGTCCCTATGGACGGCCAACGCCCTTGAGGTCAAGATGGTACGAAACTTGTTCTACCATAGACACCGCTGCCGGCGTGTCGCTTTATAACACGGAGACTAACCCATAGTGCCCAGGACCAAACCGACGAGAACAGACAGAGATGCTCTGGTACGTGCCATTCCAATGCCAAAAGGACTTTCTACCTAATGCATTGTCCATATCAATGGGATGCTGATACGTGTTGCGATAGGCATGTACAGCCGCACTGCTTGGGGCGGTCCCGTCGACCCCTACATCAACGTTATGTTTCTCCCAAAGCAAGCTCCGGCAGATCAAGACCCTACTGTCAGCCTGGTCATCTTCGAATGGAAGGACGAGGACCTGATCGGGGTTCGCGAAAGTCAGGACTCGGAGCATGTGAGGCGCATTCCCAAAACTAGCATATATGTACGAAGGCAACTGATGTTCTCGATGGGTAGAAAATCGGCATCTGCCAGGAGCAGTTTGTTAAGAAGGGTTTCTGTAACGAGACCGATGTCGGCAAATTCATCATCGACCCGGAAGCCACCACGAAATCGAAGAACATGATTGATACGAAGGCGATTCATCTGAAGGAGCCACAGGCCACCAAATACATGATTCGCAAGACCGGCTACTACTGCGTTCTCACCGACCGTTTCACTGCGGATGAGTATACTGCCGTTGTCGAATTTCGCAATGCGTACGGCGAGCTGCCTGCCACGCAAATCCCGAAATTGCCTTTCTACGGCGGAATAACGATTCTCTACGCCTTGGTTGCTGTGTACGGACTCTCCGCGCATTGCTTCAGTTGTTGCAAAGCTAATATTTTGTAGATTCTGGGGTTTCCTATACTACCAGCATCGCCATGACATCCTTCCAGTCCAAAACTACATCACAGCAATCGTGATTTTCTTGGTTGTCGAAATGCTCATGACCTGGGGCTTCTACGGTGAGCCAAATTGTATGTGATACCACGATCATGTCCCTGATAAGTTCTCAGACTACCTGAACCGCAACGGCGCCAACATTGGGTCTAAGGTGCTCCTTGTCATTGTCGCCATCCTCAACGCTGCCCGCAACTCGTTCTCGTTCTTCCTGCTTCTGATTGTGTGCATGGGCTACGGAGTTGTCAAGCCGACTTTGGGCAGGACGATGGTTTACGTGCGCTGGCTTGCGATTGCCCACTTTGTCTTCGGACTTGTGTACGCAATTACTAGTTTGCTGATCACCCCTGACGCAGCTGGTAAGTTTTGATGCCCATTTTGCGAATGCGACATGCTTACTTGGGTAACAGGACCCTTCGTCCTCCTCATCGTTCTTCCGCTTGCTGGCACACTTACTGCTTTCTACGTGTGGACGTTGAACTCCCTCAACTTCACCCTCAAGGACCTGCGTGAGCGCAAGCAGCATGCTAAGGAAGCTATGTACAAGAAACTGTGGTGGTGCATCCTAATCAGCATTTTCGTCATCTTCGGTTTTTTCTTCTTCAACAGCTTCAGCTTTGCTTCTGTCAACGACCCTGATTACGTCCCCTTCCATTGGAAGTCCCGCTGGTTCGTTCTCGATGGCTGGCTCAACCTCGTCTACTTCGCAGATGTTGCCTGGATCGCCTACGTCTGGAGACCGACAGCCAATAACAGGCGCTTCGCCATGAGTGATGAGATCGCTCAGGACGATGATGGAACCTTCACAATGGCGGACATTGGCGCGCCTGACGACTCGGACGATGACGAGGAAGCCCAAATCGGCAAAGAGAGCAACCCGCGATCAGCTGCCACTGCTTCATCAGGTGCACAAGCGAGCAATATGCCCCAGGCGCAGCCGCAAAGACACATTCCACGAGATTCTCTGGACGGAGAGACCATCTTCGCGGTGGGCGAAGATGGCGATAGATTCTCAGACGACTCTGATGAGGAAGACGCTAAACTTGTGGGTCCCAGGAAATAGATGAATTTGAGGTTTGCGCAAGGGGCAAAAATCGGCAATGACATGATTGCAGTGTACAACATGCACTTGGAGGTGGCGTTTGCGTAGTCCACTCGGTTTCATTGTTCGGTAAGAGGCCTATGTGTTTAGAGGTGGGAATCATGATATTTGGTTTCGTTGAAGTATACCAACCTCCCTCGAAGAAGTGAGTTACTAGAGAAATGTGTAAGGAAGCTGTCAGGCGGCTAATGTTGGCCAATTGTACGTGTGACTTCACACATCACCGCCAAAGCCCACCGGCCGTCTTCTTCCTTCATTCTCTGGCAAGATCGCCATGGCCTTATAGACCTTGCCCATGCCCCCTGGGCCGCGATCAGTCAGACGCTTCCAAGCCTTCTCAATATCCTGAGCCTTATCAGCAATACCTTTTGCCCTGGCTTGCCTCATGAGCACCTCCGCCCGCTCCTTGATGCCCATCTGGCCCAAGAATGCACCTTGGTCAACGGGGCCGTGAACCTCCACCCCCTCACTCGAACGTGTCGCCGCCTCAGCAATGGCCGTGAAGTCAACGTCGGCACTCAGATCAACAAGACCAGGGTCTGCAAAGGGGCTTACACGGCGGTGGCGACGGATGCCACGCAATGAGTTGATGGGGACTGTGTCAGCCGTGCCATAGTCCAGAATCAAGGCTGCGCCAGAGGGACGAGCTTTAGGATGCTGCTTGGAACCGCCAATGCGGCTGGCGAAGTCCGCTGCATAGAGGGATGCGTCGGGGCAGATCTCGGCCACAGCATCAGGGATGGACTTGAGACGGCTATATCTTGAGGATGACTCAGGCAGGTATCTTGAATGGCGCGTAGGTCCCGTGGAGAGTGTCATCTGGAAGTCGGGAATCGGATCTCCCTGCTCCGACTTGGGAATGTTCATAGTCTCATGAGTGGCGTCTGGCGGAGTGGGGGACACCAACATCTCTCGCCATTCGACCTTGGGTTTACCCTCTGCGGGAATCGTTGATGATGCGATGCTTGTTGCGGGCTCGCGAGGAGGCGGTTGGACAGTTACAGCCTGGAAGGCGTGTATAGGGAGGGCATCAAAAAATTCGTGGGCCATGAGGAGGGGCATCTTGTCTGGGTCTAACGATCGAATTCAGCTTTCATGAACACACAGAATGAATGATTAATCCGGGCCTACCGCAAGGAATCGACTTGATTGTCTCGGTCCAAACAATAGGCAAGCTTGTATTCTTGCAAACACTGTGATAGCCAACCTTGGACTCAGTCATGGGAGCGTCAGGCCCGCATAGAAGGTTCTTCTGAGCCTCACGCAGCTGAGGACTAGCTTCGACCATGTAAATGGCGTCAATGCTCGAGGCAAACTCTTTGAAGTTTTGCATAGTCTAGAAAGGGCATCAGCTTTCTGCTCAAGGACCACGCAGGTGGCGCAGATTGGCTTACACGAAGCATGTCGTCCATCAGTGTGCCACGTCCAGGGCCAACTTCAACAAGCTCAACACCTCTCTTAGGTTTTCCTTGGCTCAGCCACTCTGCAACAAACCACACACCAACCAATTCGCCGAATATCTGGGAAATCTCAGGTGAGGTAACAAAGTCTCCCTTCAACCCGAACTGGTCTCTGTTCTCCTCGGCCAAGCCGGTGTAGTATCCGTCAATGTCGCCAGTTAAACACATGCGCATGTAGCTTGCAAGAGGGATTGGCCCTGTAATCTGCCCACAACATTGTTAGAGTAGATTTGAGATTATAGTGCCCACGGGCGCATACAGAGATAGCTTCGGCCAGCTGCCTCGCCAGAGGAGTGGACCACTTTCTCTCCTCCGTATCTTCTCTATTTCGCCTGGGAGCAGACACCGAGAACGACCTTGAAGTGTTTACCACCCACGATCCCTGTGTGACGCGGGTTGAGGCGACAGCTCGTAGACCAGCCGTGAGAGCGCGTCGAGGAAAGAATCGTTGCATCGTGCCCGTCGTATCGTAAGAGACCTTCGACACTTCTTCTATATTTTATATGCTGAATTATGTCGAACGTCTGCCGAGAAAGAGACGATATCTTTTTCGGTAGCACATTCACATGTGTGACGCGGCGGCATGTGCTTTTCGTCGCTTTTGGCTCTAGAATCCGCTTTCACACGACAATGGCCGACGGGCAAGTCGGGGCCAGCTTCTGAAGCTTTCATCTTAGCGCGTCCATATTTGCGGGATGTGCGATAAGATAAGAACCCTTGCTGCTCTAGCTTCGTCACCATCTCCTGCAAAAGTCGGAGCAGTTCGCTGCCGACTCACCGCGCGTGATCCCTGCACACAGCCCGAGACTCATGGAACCACCGCGTCTAGTCGTCTTCCGTGCAATACCCGAATAGCTGGGCATCTGCTGGTATCTAAACTTCACAACAGCATATCTCAAACAAGCATTCTTGAAGCGGGCATGCGAGCTGGCCAAAACACGCACCTCTTCCAAATAACAACCAATGCTATTGCGCCGACGCAATGGCAAGCAACGCCAGGTCTAGATGGGCCGATAGCGCGGAAGATGCAGCTCTGGAGGCCAAGCTGAAGCGGGAGAAGGAAGAGAAGAAGCGTATCAAGGCAGAGAAGGCCCAAAAGGCTGAGGCCGACCGATTGGCTCAACAGGTCAAAACGAGCAACGACAACGCCGCCGAGAATCACGACGAGTCCCGACCAGCGAAAAGACGGAAATTCACGCCAGATCCCGAAGGCAGAGGCCTGGACGGCACTTCGAATAAAAACGAAGGCGCATTGAAACTCATGCGCATGCCATTTGGCCATTGGAGAAAGTGCCGCAGTGTCGAGAACTACGAGAAGCTGAACGACATCGAGGAGGGTACATACGGTTGGGTTTCACGGGCCAAAGAATCCAGGACGAATAGGGTGGTTGCTCTGAAGCGTCTAAAGATCGAACCAGGCGATCGTAATGGACTTCCAGTCACAGGCTTAAGGGAAATACAAATCTTGCGGGACTGTAACCATCGCAATATTGTAAATCTGGAGGAGGTTGTGGTTGGAGAAGAGACTACCAAGATCGAGAAGTACGCCATGACAACATGGCATCCTTTGGGGGATAACACGCTAACCAGCTTGCAGCATTTTTCTCGTTCTAGAATTCGTTGAGCATGACCTGAAGAGTATACTGGAGGACATGCCTGAACCGTTTCTCCTATCCGAGGTCAAGACACTTCTCCGACAACTAACGGCCGGCGTTGCCTACCTCCACGACAACTGGATTCTCCATCGCGATCTCAAAACATCGAATCTTCTCCTGAATAACCGTGGCCAGCTCAAGATTGCAGACTTCGGCATGGCTCGTTATGTCGGCGACCCCCCGACAAAGCTGACCCAACTCGTCGTAACGCTGTGGTACCGGTCGCCCGAGCTGCTCCTGGGGGCCAAGACCTACGGCAAAGCCGTCGACATGTGGAGTGTCGGCTGTATATTTGGAGAGCTACTCACGCGGGAACCACTTCTCCAGGGCAGCAACGAGGTTGACCAGGTCACGAAGATCTTCGAGGTGTGCGGCGTGCCGACGCAGGATAGCTGGCCGACATTCAGGAGCCTTCCGAATGCTCGCTCCTTGCGTCTTCCAAAGAACTCTCTCACCACAGGGTCTGTCATCCGTGCAAAGTTTACAACGCTGACCAACGCCGGTTGTGCGTTGCTTAACGGTCTATTGTCATTGAACCCCGACTCACGGCCTTCCGCGAAGGAGATGCTGGATCACATGTACTTCAGAGAAGACCCGAAGCCCAAGAAGGAAGGCATGTTCCCTACGTTCCCTAGCAAGGCCGGCCAGGAGAGGAGGCGCCGGCATGAACCTAATGCGCCCGTACGTGGCCAGAATGCGGTCGAGCTGGGAGATGTCGACTTCAGCGGCATCTTTCAGGGAAGGGACAAGGAAGAGAGGGGTGGAGGGTTCTCGTTGAGGATGGTGTAAGTGTCACAACCAAAGCGCAAGCAGCGGGCATAGGGAAAGTTTAATACATGACCGTACGTGTTCGGTCAGTATCATCATTAAGCTATGTATCAAGAGAACTCATAAACATTTCCAAGTTTATATATGAAGCCGCCATTTTGCCCGACCATGTTGAACACAACGCCACCCTAATGATCACCGTAAATGATTACCGCTGGACTTGTTCTCGCTCTCAAAGCTCCCAAAATAAGATGTTCAACCCTGATTACCAAGGAAATAGTCATTAAAACATGCCTAGTCCAGCCACAAACCACGTAAAGCTGGCGACGGTGATGATGCTCATACCCACGGCCATGCTAATGGCCTTGCTATTGAGCGCGGAGGCAGCCGAGTCGCAAGTCGGGCAGTTGAAGTCGCTCAACGGTGTGTACGCTTGGGGCTGGTACATGCCAAAGGTGAGAGCGTTGGAAACACCCAGGTAGCCGGCGCCTGCAGTAGCAGTGACGCTGGATTCGGCGTCATAAATAATCAGCGTATACGCGTCGTTGCCCAAGGGAGCTGAGGCATCAGTAGCCTGGACGCTCGTATCCCATGTGTAAGAAGCGGGCTCGGCCCAACTCATGTTCTGTGTCAACGTCCACGTCTGGGATCGGGAAGAACAGCTGATGAGCACATCAACGGCTGTTGGGGTGGCTTGCACGTTTGTGTAGTTCCACTTCCAAGTGACGTAGTCTCCGATCTTGTACAAGTTGATAGAGTTGGCCGTCGTCGCGGGATCGACCATGACAACACTGCCAACAGGATCTCTAGCATCGAAAGTAGACTCAGAGCTCGCGGTAGCATCGGTGCCTGTGCCGGTAGCAGACCCAGTGTTGGTGCCTGTCTTCACCTTTGCGGTGTTAAGGTTGGTTGTCTTCGCTCCGCCGGTGTTCGTCGCGTCTGCGGTAGTGGCGGTTGCTTTAGCACCTGTCGTGGCAGATGCCGCTTGGGTGGCAGTGGCAGCGGCTATATTCAAGTCAGAGATATGGATGAGCGACCAACAACCGAGCCTTGATATAAAATACCTGTGGATTCGTCATTCTGACGAACTACGAGCGCATCTACGTCAGGGAGCCATTGTGGCCAAGCGGAGGCCAGGGGAGAAAAGACGGCAAGGCCGAGAGCAAGAGTGTGAACGGCCTTCATGATTATCGATCGAGGTACGGGTGGAGGGTGGCAATCTTGTGAAACGAGTAAACACCAGGGAGAAACTCAGTGGTGCGGCTTGGACGAATATGTCGAGAACTCGTCGAAACAGCAGTGAACGATTGCAATCGAGCGGGGTGAGATATTTTGGTGGTTCGAAGAGCTTTGAGGTAGGGTGTCGGGATGGTGTGGTGTCGGTTCGCGGCGACCCCTTTTTCGGTAGGCAAATTCGCAATAACAAGACTTGGGGTAAACTTGTCGACGTCCAAATCGGCCAAACCGGGTGAGCCTTTGTGATTTCCTCCTCTTTCAATAAGCGACCGAAAAAGCGAGCGAGTGTGTCAAGCGAGTGTCGATATCGAAATTGAAATAGCAGTAGAAGAAAGGAAAAAAAAGGTGACGAGAAGCGGCGCTGGTGGTGAAAATGCTGCTGGGAAGCAAATCACATGAGGATTGTGTGAGAGGGAAAATGAATAGAGGCGAGAGAGGAGAGGGAGACGAAATCTGCAGTGGAATTTGCGTTAGCCCCGGGTAAGGTAGTAATTAGGTAGGCAGGCCCCAGGAGGACTAGGTAAGCATTACGGCTAGGAAAGCACTGGAATGGCAACAGAGAAATTTGGGGCGGGTTCAACAGGAGACGGGAGAAGACTGTGAAAGCGCACAGCACTGGAGGTCGAGTGGATGGGATGGGCCCCGATTGATTAGGTTTGGTGGGTCCCCAGCAACCAAGGCGAACCCCCGACTGTCCAGCGCCCAGTGACGGGATGATCGCGAAAAAATGGAATGCAGGGCAGCACAGCGACAGGGGCGGAGCCTGCTAGAGCATGCACCATACGGGATGCATAGAAGCAAGAGATGGGGTGGCACAGCCGAACAGGCCAAGGCACCTCGAGTTTTCTAGCCAATCCTGTGCTGTGTGCTAACACCATTACCTCAGCCCGCCCGCCCGGGTGAAAGATGGGATGGGAATGGAAAATACAACATCAGCAACAATAGTAAGAGCATGACACCACAGGGAAGGAGCATGGGAGCAAGAAAAAGTAGGATCAACAAGCCAGTCACTCTTCCAGCCGTCCTCTGGCGGCACATCGAATCGCCATGGGCCTCCAGGTTCCCGCCACCCGACAAGCACATATCTGTACCTAAGGTATGCAGTCCACGGGTGACTCTAGCGGATGAGCTGCCCGCTCGCCGTTGACCAGTGAGCATACCTAAGATGCGCATCCAACCTCCCGTCGCGCGTCCAAAAAAAGGGGAAAGGGAGGGGAGGGCCATGGGCAGCCAAACACCGCTGGCATAGTGTAACGCCCGGCTTTGATAGCGACAGCATGCACAGCACCTCAGTTGCTGAGGTGTTCCGTACTTTGAGTGAGTATGTACCTACCTTCTTCGCCGTCCATTCGTCCAGGCCCGGACCTTAGTACAAAGACCAACCAACCGGACTGGTGCGTCGGGTGAGCAGACTGGATCCACCAGCCATCGTATTCCTTCCCCTCCAACGCCTCCCCTCGCTCGTGTTGGCCTCCTAAAAATAATTACCGGGACGCGCGCCTCCACAGATTCAATCAATGATGAGACTGAGGCGAGACCGATGGATGGAGCGATGAGCGCCTATGAACACCTGTGTCAGTCGAATTTTCTCCTGACGACTCTAGAGCAGGATTCATCGCGAGACTGGTCCCGTTGGTCCAACTCACCATCGCATGTCGTCCGTCAGGCCCAACTGTCCTCGTGTTGTACTTAGGTGCCTTCCTTCGTTTTCGAGGCAAAGGACCGCGACTGTGGGTGTAAACACCGGATCGAACGAGTGATCAGACAAACTGATCGAACCACGGATGCCCCGAGTAAAGACGACGCAGGGTACCGGTAGCTGGCTGTCCTTGACTCGGAGGCGTCGCCCAGAGCACGTCCGAAATGGACGGCTCCCACCAGCATCTTATGCAGCCCGGTGCAGCATGGGTTTGGCCCACTCGCATCGGTTCTTATCAGGTTTTCGGTGCACATCATGTTTGTCCTCATATAATACTACTGCATACAGGAAGGGCCGGCGTAGCCAAGCCGTTGAATGCAAACTAAGCAGGCTGCGCACAGTAGCACGGACAGCATCTGATGCACATCAAACGTTTTGAACCACCGCCGCCAAAAACGGCTGCGATCTTCCAGACTCTCAGAGACTTGTCCCGCTAGGACCGAAGTATAAGTTTCTTCAAGGTGACGCTGTGATCCGCGGGAAGTGTTCAGTGCTTTGCTAGGCTTACCCTGTTCTGCCGGGCCAAACGGTCCCTCGGTGAAACGGGCTCCTCTACAGTTGCGACAGTGGCTTTTCAGGTTAGGCACCAAACCACCTCTGCGACGGCGGCGGACTAAAAGAAAATTCGGAAGCTCATCGTGTTCCTGCTTGATCTTGAACCTTGAAGGCGTCTTCATCGCCAAGACATACCTTGAGCACTGGTATGTTGTATGATTGCCCAGCCGAATTTGGTTTCTGCGGCGAGTCGTGACGAATGCCGGCATGATTATGCATTTTGATTGAGGAATGACATTTTGTGCTCGATCTGCTGCGGATTATCTTCTGCCTCCCTTGACCAAATGCCTTGCCCTATGCCATCATTGCCGCCAAACCATGAATACGTCGGCGGGAATATAATGTCCATTCCACGACGACGCCAAGTGCTACAGTAGCGTTTATATCTCACTTCGTCCTTCCAACCCTCTCAGATGATCGATGACTCATCGAAAAATTGATTTCAGGCTCAAGAAAGGGCTCATTTGTGTCAGTTGAAATGCCACTTCGTCAGCAGTTCGTACGCTGTACCTCAGTCATTGACGGACTATGGAAGGGCGATAGTTCTCGACCGACGGTGGATTCTTGCTGGGCGTGTAAGGAAAAGGGGGATGGGGGAGGACACTCCAGGGGTCTTCTCTGTTGCTTCTGAAGTTCAGCATTGAGTTTGCGGGATGAATGACGAAGAGTTTGGACGACGTGAAGCTTCCCGTCCGTTGGCATGCCGCCTCATGGACCACCGGCTTTCTGGCCCCAGGAACTGGCCTGGAAAGACTCCCGTCCGAGACTTTGGAGTTCGATTCACCCGAACCCATCATGCTGGCGGCTGAATGTGGGGCTTTACGGACCCTGCACGAACACTCACACTGTGACCTCACTCACTCTGGTAAGCTAGGTACCTTGGTAAGGTAGGTAGGTAGGTAGGCACCTAGGTGTCGCTTATCGATAAGACAAGCTTCTATCGGCCACCACCTTCGATGCCTACCTATGTACCTACCTCATCTGAGGTAACCTTCCTTAGATAGGTATCCCCAAGTGGCTTGCTGCGTTCGATATCGAGCGGCCAATAACTTCTCCAAACTCATACTTTTTGCCAACCTGATTTGTGCTGGCGATCACCTCGTGCCAGTCATGGTGTCTTTCGTCAGTGACACGGTCTCAATTGACCGGTCCTATCTTGATACCTTAATCCGCAGGTAATTACGTCTGACACAATCTAGCTGGAGTCTACCGTCTGAGCCTCCTTCGAGACCGAACGAGGCTGCTGCGAGCTGGCAAGATGCTAACAAATGGCGCAGGGCTGAGCTCGTACGTCTCACACCATCATTTAGCTGTCTTCTTATCCCTCGATCGGAGAATATGGGAATGCTGACATAGACTCGGCTCCTACAGAACACTAGTGACCCTACGTCGTGTCACTCCACCATCACCATCTCTCGCGCCGAGCATGAAACTCTGCTCAATGCCGCTCGTGAATTCGGTATAACGCCAACCCCCGCTACTTGGCAATTCCCAGGATTGCCGAGCACCAAAATGCATTTGTCTGACAAACTGAATAGCCAACCTGCGCCGCAACCTGATGAGAGGTGGTGTCACCGAGGATACACTTGCTGTAAGTCGTCGACTCCACAGCATGCGTCTCATTAGCTAAGCGAAATGTTGCCCAGGTTCTGACGAGCGACGAATCCCAATGTCAAGAGGATGACCAGAAGCCGGCCGGTCAAATCCCCGACCCGTCTTCGGGCGGTGCTCCGGACTATGTTCACAAGCCATGCCCAAAAATTACGGCTGCCACACGAGTTCCCAACAGCGACTGTCATGGAGGCCAACCTAGTGATCGCGGGTCCATTAAGCAGGATTGGGCTGACACGGAAGTCCATGAGATTTCGGGATCGTGCATTTCCCCCACCGAAACCAACCATCAGCAGGGCTCAAGTCACCAAGACAAGGATCAAAAGCCTTCTCGTCTCCAGTTCGAGAAATCGACCACCAGAACGGTCTTGATCACCAATTTACCCGATGGGACGACTCACGCTGATGTCACGGCCGTCATCCGAGGTGGTCAACTCCTGGATATCTTTCTGCGCACGCATGACCGCTCTGCCCAGGTCTCCTTTTTGCATTCGGCAGAGGCTCAAGACTTCCTTGAGCATGTGCGTCGCCACGACTTGTATATCAAACACAAGCGAGTAAGGTTGATATAAATGGTTGCAAACGCTCTCAGCTAAACAAGCTATTAGGTCGAAGTCCGCTGGAGCGATCGACAGTTCATTCTGCCTGGCCACGTTGCGAGTAAGATTGGAATCGGCGCAACACGGAATTTAGTGATTCGGCGTTGTGATCCGAACCTGACCGAGGAGGGTGTTCGGGACGACCTGGAACACATCCACAACCTTGTTGTTGTTCGCGTCTTGTTTAGAAGTGGCAGCTGCCACATTGGCACTAACTCGGTTCACAATGCCATGTTTGCGCGTACCTGTATGATGAGTCGCTTGTAAGCTGGTCTGCTCGAGGAATTACAACAAATACTGACCAAGCCACAGCAAGTACAAGGGTTCCAGGATCGACTGGGACGTCGATGAGTGCTCGCAGCCACTGGAGAAATTTCAGTACCCCCGCGCCTCGGCACACTCTCTGTCAACTAAGCGCCCGTCGGGCCCCATGTCAAACCGGTTTCAACTCTTGCACCTGGACGATGATGAGGAGGATGAGGATGTAGCTCTTCTAGAGTTCCAACGACGCCCGATGGACATCGTGCTTTGAGTAGAGATACCACACCAGGGTTCTCGCGAGAATTTTATCCTTGCGCTCTGCCTTCGGTCTAGAGTCCGGAGTCAGGTGAGGAAATTTGTGTGTCATTTCTATGCTTCAGGCGTTGGTTGCGAATACCCTTGGGCTTTATTGTGTTATGTTATCCTGTTCCTTGGCAGTAGTGCTGTCTGGCTTGGTCTCCTAGGAGGGCGGCGGTGCGTCGGGGAAGTCGGCATAATTCTGAGACGTGTCTGGGTCACAATACAATACCAAGCTGCGTTTCTTCTTAGTTCTTTCCAAAGCCTTTCTCACCGATGCGCATCTTCCAACGCGGTTCAACTTCACTACATGTCAGGCTATAATGGTTGAAATTGAAAAGTAATTGAATCATCTATGATACCAACCAGATTGCTAACCTAAATGTTTGAAGACAAGATGCATCATATGTTTGCCTAAAGTCTTGCTAGCTGGGCGGTGTCAGTTGGCTATCCGGCAGTGTCCCCTATAACTTTGATTATAAGTGAGCGCACCTAATACCTCGATAAGTATGACAGTAGTACAGAAAACGATAAGGCTAGTAATGATAATGATGATAGACGACGATAGAAGACGACGACAGAAGATGACGATAGAAGACGACGACGGCGACGATAAAAGCGAGTATCCCGGAAACGTATTTGAAGGTAATATAGGAAATATAGAGGGTCTCGCTAGCATATGCGGATTACATGCGTATATGATGGACGACCCGGATAGCTGACTGACACTTCCCGGCTGGCGAAAGTCTTACAAGATCAGAGGGTGCCGTAAAACCCTCACACAACACCCCAGGCCTGATCGATAGGCAAGCTCACTCCGTTGATGGTTCGTGCTTGATCGGAGGCGAGGTAAATGACCGCTTGTGCAACCTCGAGGGGCGTTATGTCCGGCGTCGACCCTGATGCATGGGTTTGCAAAGCATGAACTGGCTCAACTTGGGCGTGGGCCTCGACATCAAATTCATCGCCTTGTCCCGTGGCAATGGCCTTTCCAATACGGGAGTCAATCGCACCGGGAAGCACAGCATTGCATCGGATGCCCTCCTTACGGAAGCGCCATGCCACATTCTTGGTAGCACCAATCTGTAGACGACACTGTTAGCACCTGACCTCAAGATTGCCGTTCTTCTTCGTACGACTTACCAGTCCATGTTTGCTGCAAGTATACGCTATGCCAGCAACTGCCCCAGACAGGCCAGCCGTACTAGACACATTGACAATGGCACCAGTGCCCTTCTCCTTCATGAAGGGCAGGACAGACCTCATCATTTTGACCGGGGCCGTCAGGTTGACTGCCATTACTCTATCCCATTCTGCGTTTGTGACGCCGTCCACGCTGCTGAAACTATCCATGACACCTGCAACGTTGACGAGCAAGTCGATTCTCCTCCTAGTGCCGTTGTCAAAATAAAATTTCCCCTCAAGTCCCTTCTGCCAGCACGGCACTCACCCGAATGACGAAATTGATGCGTAAACTCCATCCTCGCATGCTCGCGGTTCCGTCAGGTCAGCTCGGTGGAAGTGGAAGCGGCCGTGATCACACTCCTGAAGAAGCGAGTAGTTGAATTCGCGCGCATCGAGACCGCAGACTTGAAATTGGTGTGCCAGCAAGAGCTGGGTGCAGGCCAGGCCGATGCCCGAGCTGCATCCGGTGACAACTGCTACCTTGCCATAACCTATTGGGTCAATCGTCTTGGGAGGGATGAAGAGGGCGTCTGCGGAGGTGTGGAAGAACATGATTGATTGTCTGGGAGGTAAGCCGGAAATATTGATATCCACGGTTCCAGCTGGGCGAGGTTTTCTTCTCGCCGGGAATGGTTCTGGACGGAACAGCGCCAATCAACAGTCTAGCTGTCGTGGGAGATTGGGGGAAAATTTGGTTCATCATCACGCTATGTGCTGGAGCCTCCATTATATCGTCTTGGGTCTCACGAGTTGACCATGTCATCGGTGCATCCCGCGCACATCATCATCAGAACAAGTGGTTCGACAGAAGGTCAAATGCGTGGCAAGCGACTTCTACTTGTTGGTTCTTCTTGCTTCCGCCATCCTAAACCGGGCTATAACTCATTTTGCACACCCTCTCTGCACCTCGGCCATCAGCCCACTTTCCATTAACACTCCACAGCAGCCGCCGTTTGCCGGGCTCCAAGAATGCCGCATGAGGGAGAAACAGCTAACGGAAGGTCGTTCTTCGTTGAAGACCGATGCGGGCCGGCTAGACACGGTCACGCCATTGCCGGAGCGCGGGCAGTCGATTGGCAAATGGTACAATGCGGGGGTGGGTATTCGTTGCCATATGAATTGCTTCCCCAGACCCTAGGAAAGTATCACCTTGGTACGAGTGCTTGAAGAGTTTCTTCCAATCACTGAAGCGAAATTGGCAAACGAGGTACATCCCAGGGTATAATATTTCCTTCCTGAATATTTCATCCTGCACCCTTGGCCGTTCTCCCCAAGCCGTTGTCCACCAACGTAGATACTTTGCCACGTCCTCAACCCATTGCAACGCAATACCAAAAAACTAAGATTGCGACTCCATCTAAATGCAGGCGTATGTTCGCCGGACAACTCGTTAGACGGTTTGTCAGGAATTAGCTGGAGGCGACTGCTGTTCCGCCACCTGTAACGATTGTCCTATTTGCTGTTGTTCGCTACTGATGTTAAGTAGCCTAGCAGGAAGCTACGATCCGCGGGCGAAATGGGTGTTTGACTGCCACGTCGGGATTCAGGCAGGCCTTCAGGCAAGCCTTGCCCGCTTGCGGAGGCAAGAGACGCCACCCGTGATCGCATCCCCCCCATATCAGGCGGCATTATCTCTCTCGTCTTTCCCTTGTCATCTACCGCATAGCCCGGACCAGGACTGGGCGACTGTGGCTTTCCGAAAAGCGAAAGAAGCTTCTGCCTCTGTTCCGTGGACATCTCGGGCTTGCGCTGTAACGCAGCTGGTGCTGGAAGCGCGGATGCTGCCGGAGGGCTTGCCAGACTGGCGGGCTTGTCCGCACCAGCGGCCCCGAGGAGTGCTGCCATAGCGGGACTATGAGGTCCTGTCGGCTTATTCACGCTCTCCATGTGCTGCGAGACATGGCTAGAGTGTAATTGAGGAGAGTTGTTGAGAACCGCCAATTGGTTGATTGCGCCCTGATTGTATACACTTCGGGTTTCCGTTATTCTGGGGCTGTAGCCACTGGTAGAACGAGGGCTTCGATACTCAGTTCCTCCGATTTGTTGCGATTGAAGTGATAGATTATGTGACGACATTTGAGTTGCAAGATCTGCAGGTCCCTGGGGGGGCCTGCTGAGAGGACTGCTTGACACGGGTTGAGTGCTGCGGTTTTGGAAGACAGGGCTGGGAATGTCCTGGTTGTCTCCCCTCGTGGTCGAGATTCCCTTGAGAAGCGCGGCACTCGCAGTAGTTGCTGGAAGTTCAGCAGGTTGATTGGCAGGAGAAAAGCTGGTTTCGGGCTTCTTGAACATATTGAGGAGAGCAGAGCGATGAGCTGGGTCGACAAGTTGCTGGCCCCGCTGGCTCATGGCCTGATTTGGGTTGGAATGGACTGGACTTGCATTCGAGAACGGTAAGCCAGGCTGCTGAACATGCCCTTGAGCCCCTCCATGACTGTGCATACCGCTAGAATGCTGAACATGCGCGCGGGTGGGCTGGCTGTAGGACCCTGGGACCTGACCTCTGTCTGGACTGATGGCCTTGGTATCGGATTTGAGGACTCCCAGTAGAGCCATAGATTGATTTGAGAGCTGCCCAGCAGGCGGCTTGGGTTGATACAGCAGGTTCTGGGTTTGCTGTTGAAAATATGCTTGCTGATATTGCGCGGTGGGTACAGGTTCGTTCAGAGTCCCCTGCGCATGCTTTGGCGGAGGGGGTGGTGTACTGTCGGCAAAAGCCCCTCTGCTGAGCAAAGACTTTTGAACCTGAGGAGGCAACGGCTGCGGATGTCTCAACGGGGGTAGCAGGTGGCCGTAAAGAGGTCCATTCGTCAACGATGGATCTTGTTGCCTGACCTGGTGGGCCATGCCTTCGGCGTTGCCATGCTGAGAGAAGGCCCATTGCTGTGGAGTTCCGTCTGGAGTAACTGGGAAACCGGGCGGGTGTTGATAGCTCGCCAGCGGCACCCGTTGCTGAGAATGGTGTTGTCCGTGAGGGCTTCGCGGCTGGGGGACCTCTCCAATGGTGTGATCGAGAGGCGTATGCGGTGCCGGCGCAGCTGGAGCAGCCTTGACGGCAGCCTGGTTCTTCGCCTGAAGAATTGCTAGTAGCGACGCGCCCTTATCTCCTCCGCTCTCTGAAGAGGTGGGAACAGAAGCACTTTGAGCCGCCGCAGGCTGAACTTTCAAAAGACGCTGCAACTCCATAGTTGCACCCTCTAGAGTGTCTAGGGCTGGTGTTCGTGTCGAGGCATCCGTTACCGGTTCTGTTTGCCAAACGTCGTCTTCGGTCACGAGCTCATCGTGAAGGGCGTGAGGCTGGAATTGCGCATCGTTGGGTCCTTTGACAGCGTCCCTCTTCTTTTGCTGCACAACCCATTTTTTCAAGGGCACTAAGAATGGAGCTACCATGTAGAACTTGTTGGCATTCGCAGCCGCGGCCGCGTCGTTCTGGTTTTGCGCGCCCTTCTTCCGGAAGGCAGGAAGCTCAGATAACTTATACCACTGAATCTTACTGATCTCTTTTCTGGTTCGGGGTTGGAAATGTGTGTCCATGGGAACATTGCGGAAGACGTAAAGCCTTAGTTGCTGCTCCCGCATGGTGACCTCGATGTATTTGACATCGCGGTTCTCGGGAACCAAGCCAGCTGCATGCAAGTCGTATCCTGTTTCCTCGTACACTTCGCGAATGGCACATTCGAGATCGTCTTCGTCCTTGTTTATTTTCCCGCGAGGAAAGCTCCAGTTGGCGCCTTTCTTCCAACCTTTGACCAAAATTGTGGAGTCCATAGCCTCGTTGAGCAGAATTGCACCTCTCACAGGGACTCTCGTCTTGTATTGCAAAAACTCTTCGAAGGCTTTCGTATGATTCTCGACCGAGAAGGGAGCGAGGAGGGGACAGTGCTGAAATATCCTTAGACTAAAGCTTCGGAGCGTCATAGAGGGAAGGGTCGGGTCGAGCGGGCGGACGAAATCTTCGTAGAACCATTGTGCCTCCTCGATCTGAAAGCATATGCGTGCAACCGACGACAAATCTTCTTCGGGAAGGTTGATAATGAATCGGACACAGAGGTCATCCAACCCTGTTCAGTTATGATACTTCGTCAGTCCCGTTTCTGGCAGTGGTGATGGAGCAGTAAGGAAGGCAGGCTCGGTAGCTAACGCCACGGTTGTTCGGGGTGTGGGGTAACGTACAGTCCTCCAGCTGCATCTTTTCTTCGGCCATTGTGGGCGACGGCCTAGACCATATCCCTGGAAAAGTAAACGTTGGGTCTTAATCGCCTGTGCTAGGAGGTTTGGTCGGGATGGAAAGAGGCTCCTGACGGCGAGTATGTGTCGAATACAGGGCGAGGAGCGGCAGTGGCATGGTACGAGGTAGGAGGTTTGTTGGGTTGCAGATCAGGCTCGGGCTCGAAGCTTCACGCTTGCGACCGGAAATGCGCCCTGCGACTGGAATCGGTAACGGCAGAAAGTAATAGGTCAAGTGAAGAGTGGCATTGGGTACCTCTCACTTTCAATCGTGGCTGAGGCGTTGGTGATTGCTTGCTGGCAGAGATGCGTTGACAAGCAGCCTCTTGGTTGTTGGTTGCAGTGTTGCCGATTAACAGAGGCGGAGAAGCAAGCGACACTCTGCTCTTTGTTGACCATGGGTGAGGTGGCCAGCCAGTCAGATAGCGAGGAAGCACCTGTGGCATCCGCGACCACACTCAGGCGCAAGACGTGGAAGCCACGCCGGTGGAGGTAGGTGGGACGGACGTGGCAGATATTGTGTGGCGGAAAGCTCGAGCGAGGGGCCTACATGATTGGCTCGTAGGGCTAACCTTGCTCGAACAACGCGTCACACTGTCTTTTGCATGAGGTTCCTTATGCCATGATAGTGCATTTCGGTATACACGCACTGTGATACACAGCCCTTCTCGAGTTCAGATCACCATCTTCTATCCGGTCTACACTGGTTTCCCTTGTCAAATGGCGGGCTGCCTCCGACTGCGCATGGGCTAAGCAGTAGACACAACAGGCGCATCCTTTAATCTTTCAACATTTGATCATGAAATCTGGCCTGGATTGCATGTGAGAGGGTGACGACAGGGACTTGAGACGATCTGGAGTTCCCAAGCCACAATGTGGCTGAGTAGAATCTCGACCTCACTTCGGTTGCCACACTTGCGCGCTCTCTTCAATGGCATTTGGAGGTCCCGGTGCAACGGACACCGCTGAATTGCCCAGTAATGGTCATTTGGGTCGCATGCTTACTGGGGACCGTACAGCGAAGGCGCTGCAGCATGATGTGAAACACTGCAGCTAGCTTGCTCTAGCTCCACTGCAGAGGCCTCTCGGGACTGCTGTAAGTGCCCTGCATTGGCGTTCAGACCGACATGATTACATCATGGCTGTGGTCTGGTCCCCTGACTTGTCAAAACAGGAATTCTGGGCGCCCTCAACCACCTTACGTCGAGAGGCGACTTGCGTCGTGACAGGGACTCGGACCCTGCATGCAGGACCTTTTCTCAGTCCCAGTGCTCGTTTGAATACATATACCAAGCCTTCAACTTCTTGGACAGGCTTTACTGCTCCCCACCCTTCGTCCCTATGTAAACTTATTTCACGCGGCAAACGTTGAGTTTCCTGTAGCAAATATCAGCGCCATTCGTGCTTTTCTGAACCCAGAACTTTTACCAATCAGCACCTTTCTTGCCCGCGCAGTCGGCTCCAAGCGCAGTCATGGCTAGTCTCATCGCCAAGTGGGTGAGCAAGAAGATCTTGGCGGAAAAGGTTGAGAACAAATTTGGTCGCGAAGTATGTTACGGCGAATGTAAAATGAACTTCCACAAGTGCACTGTACTGACGTCTCAACCCCTCAGGATCCCTACTTCGAGACCGTTCCGGCCACCAGACTTGATGGTCGTCCCACCAAGAAAGTCAAAAAGCGCAGAAAGGCCCTCCCGCCGGGAATCTCCGCCAAAGATGGAGAAGTCTTGACCAAGGTCAAGCGGCGAGCGTATCGTCTCGACATGTCGCTATTCAGCCTCTGTGGCGTCCGCTTCGGTTGGAGCAGCGTCATCGGAATCGTTCCTGCGTGAGTACCCTACACCGCCCTGCACATGCCCCACATCTCTACTTGGCACGTAAGGTATCTTCAACGGCGACTGACACCATGCTAACAGTATTGGTGATGCTCTCGATGCATTCATGGCCCTGATGGTGTTCAAGACCTGCAACAAAGTTGAGGGTGGGCTGCCGGGTTCGCTCAAGTCCAAGATGCTGTTTAACATTATTGTGGACTTCGCCATTGGCCTGGTACCCTTTATTGGTGATATTGCCGACGCCGCTTTCCGCTGCAACACCAAGAATGCCATCCTCCTGGAAGACTATCTTCGCGAACAAGGCAAGAAGAATCTTCGACGGAGTGGAGCGCCCGTACCCGCAGTCGATCCCAGCGAAGCAGATGAGTTTGATCGCTGGGATGATGACCGCACACCACCCGAGTATGTTGAAGAGGAACCGCGCAGTCATGGAAACATGTCATCAGGTCGTGGCGGAAGCCGCCAACACTCGTACAACGGACGCGCCCCAGCTGCACCTGCTCCGGTTAAGACACGCGACGTCCGGTCTGGCGGTGGCCGGGGTTGGTTCGGGTTTGGTCGATCGAGAGTGGAGGATGAGGAGACGGGCTATGCTGGCCGTGACCCCAGAGACAGGCCTTCTCGGCGTTGAAGTCTCAACCAGAAGTCGTGGCATCCAGAGGCCTAGAAGGGATGGCATCAGTAGGCAGGAAGACTTTATTCATGGAGTGCTTTAGCGATCGGTTGTACGGATTTTATTTCTCCTTTGTCTCGAGCTGGGCCAGAACCCGGCGTTCTCGCTAGCTTATGTTCACGCGCACACACAAGATACGAACTGGATGGTGAGATGCAAGCACGACACGATACCTTAGTTACATACCCACTTCACGATAGTAGGGCCACTTTAGATAATTAACACAGCGCGTCATTTTACAGAAGAAAGAACGCTTCTAACGTAGTACGTAACACTTGGACTGTCAAGAAATGAACAATCAAGTCGAGCCGCCCGCCCATGCCGGCAGGCGGATGGGCCAGCCTGCCAGCGACGACAAGCAGAATTAACCGCGTCGACCTGCAATCAAGAATCATATGCCGGCGAGATTTGTCGATGCTTAGACATAATTGCAGGGCGGTAAATCTTGGGAGGGCCACTTCGTCCCGCCCAAGCCCTGGGTCCTGGACGGATTAGGTGTTATCTGATCTGATCTGATAATCTAAGGGGAGTTCCAGACCAGGAGACCGAGAAACGCGTTGGTTCGTAACGCCGAGAACGAACCCAGAACCAGTCGATGCGGAATTACGGATACGGCAATATTGGCACAGGACCGGGGGGTGGCCCGGGCTGACGGGAGCAATAAGGGAAAACTGGCACGCGTTTGCTCGGCCGAAGCCCTCGGTAGGAGTGGTCTGGCATGCCGTGACGCCGTCCATTTCCTCCCAGTTGCCCCGGTCATGACATCGTTGCCTGGTCGGCTCGCTGGAGGTGGAATGCATGCGGCCACTCGAACGACGAAGCACGTTACAAATGGCTAGGTACGATGAAGAAAAAAGAGGGAAAAAGAGGGCTGGGCAAGACGCGTCCCGCTGGGGGCCGTCGGTCGTCACTTTTCTTGCAAGGGTGAGAAGTGGAAAAGTGCCAGCCGAGACAGAATCCTGCCACTTTAGCAGCGAAACGCGTTGGCGATCGCTGGCCTACCCCTGTTCGACGCGCTTTTAAGTGGAGCGAGGGGCAACGATCGTAGTCAGTGAAGGACCCAAAGCTGCCAGAGGTCCCGGCGCAAAGCAATTAGACCCAAAACCCGCAAAACACGAACGCGGAACCCCCTGCACCTAGCGACGCGTTTTCCACCACACGTGCTGCCCGGTTGTCTGGTACAAAAGCCTTTCAAGAGTCACCCACTGACATTGCGTCTACTTCTCTTCACACTCAACGAGAAGACACAACAACGCTTCATACGACCGCCGATATCCTCAATTCTTTCTCGCAGTCTTTTTTCTGGGTTTTCAATTCACCCATTCTTCAACGCTTACTTCCCCCTCTCGTCCGCGCAACCCTCGCAATGTCTGTTGAAGTCACTCCTTCCAAGCAGGTACGTCACGACTTGCGCTCTGGCGCACAACCGCAACCGCTACTTCGTCACAATGTGCGCGTGTATGGATTTTAATGAACTAACAACTCAAACTCCAGGCTGCCGCCGCTCTCGATTCTTTCAAGATGGAGTCCCCCGTCAAGAAGCTCAACTTCAACAACGCCGACAAGGAGAACCAGCCCATCAGCTCTGACGTTGCCACCGCAACCGACATTCAAACCAAGCCCACTGAGGAGTCCACGAAGCAGCAAGAAGCGCCTGTCGTCGCCCCTGGCATCAAGGAGGAGGAGATGGACGAGCCTCTTCTCCAGGAGAACGGCCAACGCTTTGTTCTCTTCCCCATCAAGTACCATGAGGTCAGTCACACTACCACGCGTCATTGACGCGTAAAGTGGTTTTTTTCTCGAGAACCTTAATTTAACTCTTGGCGCATAGATTTGGCAAATGTACAAGAAGGCCGAGGCCTCTTTCTGGACTGCTGAGGAGATTGATTTGTCCAAGGATCTCCACGACTGGAACAACAAGATCAACGATGATGAGAAGTACTTCATCTCTCACATTCTCGCCTTCTTCGCCGCTTCCGACGGCATTGTCAATGAGAACCTGGTTGAGCGTTTCTCTGGCGAAGTCCAGGTCCCCGAGGCGCGCTGCTTCTACGGCTTCCAGATCATGATGGAGAACATCCACTCCGAGACTTACTCCCTTCTCATCGACACCTACATTAAGGAGCCTGCCCAGCGTACCTATCTCTTCAACGCCATCGACACCATCCCCTGCATCCGTAAGAAGGCTGACTGGGCCTTGCGCTGGATCACGGACACAAAGTCCACCTTCGCCCAGCGCCTCGTTGCCTTTGCCGCCGTCGAGGGCATCTTCTTCAGCGGTGCTTTCGCCTCCATCTTCTGGCTCAAGAAGCGTGGTCTCATGCCCGGTCTGACCTTCTCCAACGAGCTCATCTCCCGTGATGAGGGTCTCCACACCGACTTTGCCTGCCTTCTGTACTCTCACCTGAAGCACCGCCCCAGCAAGCAGGTGATTGAGGATATTATCGTCGATGCTGTCAAGATCGAGCAAGAGTTCCTGACCGAGGCTCTGCCTTGCGCCCTCCTGGGCATGAACTCCAACCTGATGAAGCAATACATCGAGTTCGTCGCTGATCGTCTGTTGGTTGCTCTCGGCAACGACAAGGTCTACAAATCGACCAACCCCTTCGACTTCATGGAGAACATCTCTCTTGGTGGCAAGACCAACTTCTTTGAGAAGCGTGTCGCCGACTACCAGAAGGCCGGTGTCATGAACAGTGCTAAGAAGTACCAGGATGAGTCTGCAGGCTCTTCCGAGGAGAAGGGTGAGAATGGTGGCGACTTCTGCTTTGACGAGGACTTCTGAACTGGAGCGTGCGAAGTCGTTTATGTCCTTTTTCTTCTCTCTTATACCCTTGTACATTGCATTCGCGTGGTACTTGCCACAGCGATTTGTTTTCGCACTCCATCGCCTCTCTAATGAGTTTCGGCATAGAGTCGTTTGTTTTATCATATACATACACGGCGTTAGCGGGGGACACATTACACCTGGGAGTTGGATGCTCCCACGGGCTAGGTGGTTGGATGATGGTGGAAAATAGGGGGCATGAATGTCTTTGATGGATAATGTATTGGCGAGCACTACTTTCAGTAATTCAGACACGACAAACGAACAAATCCATTCATCGCACGTGACAAAAATAAAGGCTCTTTATTCGCCAGCCTTGTTTGACTTTCACTGATTGTTCTATCAGAACTCAGTCTGGGCAAAATGGATCGGTGTATCTCTTTGAAGCCCCCGACGCTTTTGTGTGCGCCTATCGATTGCCATTTTCAACACATCCACAGCCATGTATCATGAAGCAACACGATTCTGGCATACCTATCTATCATTGCGTGTGCGGTCCCTGTATGCCATCTGTCGTTTTCTTATTTCTTGCCCTTCTTCTTCTTCTTTCCACCACTGCCACCCGCAGCTTGTTGAGGCTTCTCCTGCGCGCCACTCTTCAACTCAGCCGCGCCCACGCCCTTCTCCTCAGCAGGAGTATCAGCCACGGCTTCATCCTTGACCTCCGCGGGGGCCTTGGATGTCGCCATGGTGCGGCCCAGGGAGCCCAGCAAATTGATGAGACGTGTGACTTCAGCAGCCTTGGTCGTCCTGTACTTGAGCGCGACACCGCTGACGGGGTCGTATGTCTTGATCTCGAGGCTGCCCCTTGGTGGCTTGGCGGTCACCGCGTCGGGCATCGTGCTGTCCTGCTCGCCGTCCGCCTTTGATTTTCTAGGCTTGACGTCCTTTATCGAGTATTTGGTTGTGATTCTAGTCTGTGCGGTCGATGGTCGCGCAACGCCACACGGGTTAGTCGGGGCTGTCTGCAAGACTTGAAATGTAGAGCAGGGGAAGGGCCTCACGGTTGCTGGACGAGCTTGGAGGAGCAGCGATGACTGCTGCAGCCATTCCTGGCTGTTCTTGTATGTCGGCATCGTCGCGAGAGGGCGGCCAGAGCCTTGCACTGTACCGAGATGTGCGCAAATTCGGTCGCTATATTCGTCTCTCCAACGCGACCTAAGTACCTCTTTGCGCTCGCGTGTCGTCTCGCGGTTTCGGCGACTGTTCGCTAGATGTCGTGGGATTCTGTGTGTGTGGTTGAGTGACGTGCGTTGATGTGGACTAGCCGCGGGCGGTGGAGGATTGAATTTTGGTGGGGTCCAGCTATGGAGTAGGTACCTTAACCTGAGGTAGGTAGCTGCGATCAATCCACACTGAGGCCATGGGTGGCCGTGTTGAGGGGCAAGTCTAAACAGCACGTCACTGCTGCGAACCTGGGTCTCCAAGCCAGAAAATTGGCAAATGTTATTTGATTCGAGGATAGTGAGTAAATGAAGCGTATCCATATTCATGTTGCGTCCAGTCGTATTTACGATAATTCTTGGCACGGAATTGTACGAGTTGGGTATCTTGTCTTTTAAACTCCGAAAATGCTTGTCCCTGTCAACGCCGCCAGCTTGCAGTACTTCCTAACAACTCTGAACCATACCTTCCATCCTATTGAGGCGGGTCAGGCAGCCAGAAGACAACTTCCTGGTCAGCCGTCGCGAAGAAGTTGTACCGAGGGTTGAATGCCAGCACTGCCGCCTCTCGCTTGTCCTCCAAAGTCCAGGCGGGGTTGAGAGTCTTGGTTTCGTTCGGCGGCGCCAAGGTATCCCATACCAAGACATCCTTTTTGGTACCACTGAGCACAAATCTACCATCCACCGAGAAGCAACATTCACCGCTGCTCTCCACCGTGGCAGGATCGATTCTCGAAACACCATTGTAAGTAGCATTTACGCCTTCACCCGCAGCCAATCGTCGAGTGCCGCCTTCAGGCTTGCGGAGATAGGCCTTCAGGCTGCCATCAAAAGCATCAATGAGGAAGTGGCCACTCCCACGCGTGCCGACAAGCACGTGCTTTCCATCGTTCGAAAACTCCAGTTTAGTCCAGCCCCTGATCACAAACTGGGGGTCTACGTGTCTGCCCACATCGACCAGGTCGAAAGTCGCGAAGGGCGCCTTGTCGTAGTTGCGACAGTCGTACAGCAGCACATTTCCGCTACTTGGAGAAGCGACTGCGAAAGTTTGTCCCGAGGGATCGTATGCGGCAAGGTATGGCGTATTGAGGAAAAGCTGGCCGCACCACTGCTTTGTGGATACATCCCACAGGCGGACTGTGTTGTCCTGGCTGCAGGAGATGAAGTTATCAGCTCCTGGGTGCACTGCAATATCTGTCACACTCTTCTCGTGGCCCTCGAAGTATCTGATGAAGGAGTTGTCGTGGGTGGCAAGGTAGCGAATCTGGTCTATTTCGACTGTCAGCGTCTCCAGCCCTCCCTACCGCTACTCAAATCCTTCTCACCATTCTGTTTTGTGCTCGCATAAAGAATGCTTGAACTTGTATGGGTGAACTTTGCCAGCTTTACGCCATATTTCTTGCTTAAGAGACTCTTTTCATGCCGTCCCTCCTTCACGTTGTAGATCTGAATGGTCTCGTCGCTTTCGGATGTCATAAGAAGCTCACCCGGATCGTCGAAGTCAAGCGAGAGAATATGAGGTTGCGGCCGACCGTCTTTGATGTCATCCCTCTTGAATAACTGGAAAGAGGTGTAAGCGCCACCCGTTTCTGACTGATTGAGGTGTCATGAGACCTGCCTACCTTTGTAGGACGAAACGTCGAGACAACATCGCTCAATTGAGAAGTGTTGTTTGCGTTCAGCGATCGCGTGATATTCAACGAAGTTCCATTGGCAGGAGTAGAGTCCCGGTAATCCAGATCCATGGGTGTCGAAGCCATGACGACGGGTGAGAGGCGAATTGCCGGCTCTTTCAGTGCAATTGGCGTTGTGGCGGTGGGCAGCAGCGTCGTAGATCGAGCTTGTCAAGCTGCCCTAGGTTCGTTGACCCGGAGGCTTCAATGCCTTGAGTTGGCTTGGGAAATGACAACTCCGATCAGAGCCAAACTCTGGAGTCTTGGTGGGTTTGTTGCAAGAAGGCGTGTGGACTGTTGGTGAACGTGGCGCCAGAGCAATGCGGATGCAGAAGACGTGATTGCGGCTGCGGCGACGGCTACAACAGCGAGGAAATTGGAAGCTCCAAGAGTTGGCGGGGCAAGGAGCTTCCAGGGGGGGTCTGTGATGCCCTTGTTCTGTAGGTACGTGCCTCGACTCAGTTCAGCCACGTCCTAACACCACACGCGGCCGTAGAGCTAGCACAGAGGAATCCCCTAGCAAAGGTAGCAAGCCACACCAGGGCAGTTGGCCCACAAGAGTGCAACGACCTGCGATGACGACCGACTCTGCATTGCAAACTGCCTCACTGGCAATGGGCCAGCTAAAGCAACGCCCCCATTTCCGCCAGGATCCGGGGTACCGGTTTAGGCCGCTGCTGTCCGTCAACCCTGCCAATTGGCAGCCCCGAACGCCGGGATCGGCAATGGCTATCCACGGCCGTCGTCGCTGGACAAGAAAAATTCCCATTTTCTCTTCCGCGCGCGGAGCTTAGTATACCCTACCTGCGACCCCCAGAAGCCCAAGAGTCAATTCGTCCTGTCTGGTGCCAACCCGACCTGCCCATATTATCATCTTGCATCGCGACTTTGTTGACTCAAAAAGTGCGCGACAACCTGGTGTTGGGCTCTGGCTAGAAGGAGTGAATATGTAAGACCTGCTCGCCGCTTGACTGCCTCGTTTCTGCTTCTGCGTTGTTTGGCTGGGCGTCAGCCCACCGTGGTAGATTTCCAGCTGTTCCTTCGCGTTGCTAACCCCCATCGTGCTGTCTCCAGGTCCTAAGGTTCCGAACGGTGTCACTCTTTTACTACAATTTACCGACAACCCCAGTCGCCATTGCAAATGCGATCAGCTACACCTGCTTGATACCCTTTTATATTCTACTCGCGCAGCAAGACCGGCGCAATGTCGACAACCTTAGGGCAAGTTGCGGCCCGCAGACCGGCAATCCGCGAGATGGCGCAGCTAACCATCGAAACAGCGCCTTCATCGCCGGCGGCATTGCCGCCTGCGGTGCCGTGACGGCTACACATCCCTTTGAGACTGTCAAAATTCGGTTCGTCCCGGCGCTGCTTGCCCTCCCCCCATGTTGGCGCTGCCGCAGTGCGCTGACCCCTCTTCGACGACATCTAGAATGCAATTGCAAGGCGAATTGAAGGACAAGGGCCATCAGCCCCATCAGTACCGCGGACCTCTGCAGGGTGTATCTGTCATCGTCAGGAATGAGGGCGTTCGGGGCATCTACCGTGGTATCGGCTGCGCGTACGTCTACCAGGTCCTGCTAAACGGTTGCCGTCTAGGCTTTTACGAGCCCATGCGCCACGGCCTCGCCTCCTTGATCTACAATGATGGCAGTAAGCAAAGCTTGGGTATCAACATGTTCTGCGGTGCTGGATCGGGAATAATGGGAGCTGCTGCCGGTAGCCCCTTCTTCCTTGTGAAGACCCGGTTACAGAGTTTCTCTCCTTTCCTACCCGTCGGCACACAGCACAAATACCGCAACGCTTGGAACGGCCTCAGTTCGATCTACCATAACGAGGGAGTTCGCGGTCTCTACCGCGGTGTTGGCGCCGCCATGATTAGAACCGGTTTTGGAAGCTCTGTCCAGCTGCCCACCTACTTCTTTGCCAAGAGGAGATTAGTCCGCCATCTGGGCATGGAAGAGGGCCTTCCTCTGCACCTTGCCAGCAGTACTGTCAGCGGTTTCGTTGTTTGCTGCGTAATGCATCCTCCTGGTATGCGACCGTTTGATGACGAATATTATTGAATGAGTTTTACTGATGTTCACTGACAGACACCATCATGTCCCGACTGTACAACCAAAACGGAAACCTGTACAAGGGAGTTTTTGACTGCCTGTCTAAGACCGTCCGCACCGAGGGACTGTTCGCCATTTACAAGGGATTCCTGCCTCACCTGGCCAGAATTCTCCCCCACACCATCTTGACCCTGACCTTGGCCGAGCAAACGAACAAGCTGATTAGGAAGCTCGAAGATCGCATCCTGCCTACGGCCGCCCTGCAAAACCCGTGATTAAAAACCGATCTTGTACTTACTGAATCAGCGTTTGCATGTATAGAGTTCAAAAGAGCTGGATAGACTTGATGGACCCGTCATGGCCGGTGATGGCTGGGGTTCAGGAAAGCGGCAGGGAAGAGGCCAAGCTCTGAGAAGGGGACGTGGGGAGGCCTCTCTGTTTGATCTACCCATATATAGACCGTTCGCACCCGTAACATAATCGTCCTGCAGTTTCCTTGCGCTTCACATCATCCGGATCCTCGCCAATCTCTCCCTTCCACCTGGCGTAGCCATGCTCGTCCAGATCCATTCCGCAGAGTGCACACGCATCACCGGCATTCTCTCGTATGAGCTTGCCAGTGGTGCGAACGACATTGGCGACGACCGATGGATAGCTCTCTTCCACCTCCTCGAAATACCGGGTCATGACGTCCTCGATGCTCAATTCTCTATGCGACACGATAGTGCTGCTACTCGAACCCGCGTCTTGAATCAGCTCCCTGATCGGTGGTTGGACGAGTCCAGTATACGTAGTCACTTCCCGCTTGAAAACATCTCTCAATAGGTAGTAGACAGGGAACGTCGTCTTCTGAGTTCCGCTGGCTGGCTGGCCTTCTTCCGACTGCTCCTTCGAGCGTGGAAACGTCGTGATGGGAACTTGTCCGTCATTCACTTGCAAGGGCACCGCAAAACCCCTCCCTTTCGCCGTCTCCGCCAGTGTCAGTTCGGCCAAGGCGGTTGTCGTGCAGCCAAGAAGCAGCGCGTGGCATTCCTTGTCTATGGCCAGCGACAGCAACAGATGCCGCACGAGCAGCCTCAAGATGTCCACCCTCGATGTCACAGATGGCAGCGCTTCGAGCATGGCTCTGACCTGCTGCGAGGGCCCGAGGTCCTTCTGCAGAGCCGGTAGTACAGACCAGTCTATCGTATCTAGCCTGAGAGCGTCACTCAGTGGCACGCATTGCATGGACAGGTTGGGAAATCTTTCCTCGTACTTGTCCAGCAATTGGCTCGCGGGGGGCTTTGCCGATGACTGCGAAGCGCCCGATAGGTCCGTGTCGATGTGGATGGCGTGCACCTCATAGGCGACGCGTAACTTTCTGTCATGGAGGCTCTGGAGGTTCTTGTCCAGCACCTGTACCATGGCCGCAGACGAATGTCCGAAGGAAAGACCGAGGAGGTACTTTCCTTTGGCGTTTGGCTTGTTTCCGATCTTCTCCTTGGCCTCCTTCCATGGCTTGCCAAGAGCCTTTACCACTCGCTGGGCAATGTGTGCCTCATAGCAGGTTCTGAGAGAACAATCAGCACGGGACTTCCAAAATGTAGAGGTGTTCAAACTCGATAGCTTACTCGCACAGCGGGTCCTTTCTTACCGTCAGAACCGTCGGTATCTTGCATCGCCGGCAAGGTCGTGGCTCAGTGTTTCCGCTCATACTTGCGAGTTGGGCTGCGACAGAGATTGGGTTTGGCCTCGTTCGGCAGCGGAGGAAAAAAAAATATCGGCCCGGAATGAGTGTATGACACAACAGTATTTAAGCTCGCCTATGGCCGTGTGCTCTGGTTGCGTGTTGTTGCACACGCGACGGGATAGTTTTGGCTGTTTAGTTGTGAAGAAAAATAATTCAACTTTTGGGTTCCGCCACTCAAAGTTGACTCACAAAATTTGCAGTGGAATTTTTCCGGGCCAAGTTCTCAGAGTCCTCCTAACTTCTCACTTCACACCAGACGTGTGTTTGGGCTTCATCAACAAATCGAGACTACCATGGCCAGATTAATTATTTTGCCTTTGCCTATGCTTTCTGGCACAAAACGCCCCTCGTTCATGGACATGACAATACCACCAATACATGCAACACGCGGGTGCAAGATCGCCACTTCGAACCGTGTCTTGCACAAACTAGACTCCTGCTCACGACGAATATATGAAGCGACCGAGGTCATGATGCAGCGTCCGTATTCTATATGGAACCGACTTAAAGTTGTCGACGTGGTCCCAAAGTTTTTTAGGCACCAGTTCGGTTTGAATCTCCAATGGCCCCGCCACCCTCGATCGCATGAAAGCTCAGCAGAAGAGCCGCACACCGTGAGCCGCGAGCCCTTTTATGGCTTGTGGAAGTATCATTGGCATTGCCTTGCTTTTTCCTGTAACCCGGCTACGGTCAATTTTGCCACATTTGGCGGGATGCTTCCCTACTTAATCGTCGCATATGGGCAGAAGTTGTTTTTTTCGCTCCACACTCCTCACTATTGCCCACCGGCGAGATGGTTTCCGGTTCGTAGGTAGCAGACGTAAGATAAGTAGGAATAGATGTGCTCGCCGTCTGACTGATTCGGCGGGAGGTGCAGGTTGCAACTTCCGTTTTCGGCAGTTCCAAACTCGGCTGGTTCAAGAGGCACAGAGTCTCTCGCGAAGCCTTGTCTCGATCTCATTTGACTGTGTCTCGCTCGCCATCAACCAGAGGCGCGTCAAATCCTCGGGTTGCAAAATTCTCGCCTTCAATGAACTATCGCAAGAGAGCCTCACCCCGCTCGCTTCTGTCAACGACCACATCGACCTTCTTCTTCCCATGTTGTGAACACCAACTACGATCTGCTCTTTGCCATGGCTGCCGAAGATAACACATCTGAACGTATTCTGCGAGACATCAAGGCAGAATTGGCCAGCACACCGTACAACTTCGGTTCTGCTCGACTGCTCACCGGAGGAACAGCGAATTTCATCTACCAGGCGCGCCTGAATCAACCTCTTCCTGGTGGGACGTCGGAAGTGGCCATCGAGCACGGCGAAGAATTCGTCCGCCAAAGCCCAGGCTTCAAGCTCACTACCTCCCGTTGCGTATGTAGCCCTCTCGTATTGTGCACTGCCTCTAACTCTGACCGCCACTCAGCGCATCGAGGAGTCTTGTCTTAAGTATCTAGCGGCGTTTCTGCCGTACATAAACTCGAATGTCTCAGTAACCACGCCGAAGTTATTCTATTTCAACAGAGACACCAACACGCAAGTGCAAGACTGCCAGCCAACCCCGCTCAGCCTCAAGCTCTACGCGATTGAGCACTTTGCACTCTCGCATTAGTAAGAGCTCAATGTCTCGAGATTGGTCTCGGAATTGGCCAATGGCTCCGACAATTCCACGACTGGAGCAACTCGCCGGCACAATCCAACCTGCGTGAGACTGCTTTGGCGAACAAGGACATGCAGTCTATCAAGCATTGGGCCAACTACCAGCAGCTTCCGAACGCGATGAAAAGACATCCGACGGTATTTCGTGGTTGTGGAGACATCTTCAATGCCATCGTGGGAAAGTCGACCGAGGAATTGATAGACCAGAAAAGTCTCCAGGTCACCCACGGGGACTTCTGGACGGGAAAGTGCGTGATCTGGGTCAAACTTGTCAGCAGCATGCACTAATACTCGGAATAGCATTCTCTTGCAAGGGGTACGGTGGGAATGGCGGCGTATGCATCTCTTTGTGATAGACTGGGAGATGTTCCAGGTTGCCCTCACACCGTTGGATTTCGGTCAGATGATTGCAGAGCTTTATCAGCTGAAGCTGTACAAAAACCTGGATGCGGGCCTATGGTTGATTGAAGGCTTCACCAAAGGCTATGGTGATGTTGATGACAGTTTCGCCTTCAGAACGTTACTTCATGTCGGCGTGCATCTCATTGGTTTTGGAACCACTGTGCCCGATTGGGGTGATGCAGAACAGGGAGAGAAAGTAGCAGTAGCAGGACGGGAAATTGTATTAGGTGCTTGGGCAAAAAGTCGGCGGTTGTTCGACGACCACCCGCTTGGTTGCATTTTCTGTTCAGCTTAAGGCGGCAGGGTCAGAGATGGACGTGTGCCCTGGACATGGGTGCTCGATCAGACGGAAGATGTAAAGGCCCTCCCTGTTCAAATGTCCACTGTGCCGTGTCTTTCACGGTCGGACACACATGCAAGACCTGAATGAAAAACAGAAGGACCGACATGAGACGGCAGTAGTCAAAAGAGAGGGTCGGCCTCGAAGGATCAGAGTCAAGTGAGAAATGAGCAGGATGAATAGTGCGCTGTAGAAGCCAAGCCACGGACGCAAGAGAGAATAACGGCCAGCCATCGGGCCGCACCGGGCTGAGGCACTAGCATCTGCCAAATCCCGACATGATTGTAGTCGAAAGCCACGAAAGACCGGTGGCAAGCCACGGAACATGAGCTTATCTGAGCGTTTCACCGCTCTTCTGCGTTGTTTGTTTGAATTGTGGGATGCGGGAGGGAAGAAGAGAGTAAGCGAGCGAGAACCTAGGCAATGACGGGGGAGGTTGGTATATCCAGGGTGAGGAGAAGAAGAGTGGTTCCTCTTGTGCCGTAGAGCGGATAGAGGCGGGAGGCCGGGATGGCACAACGTCACGATGTTTTGATGGCCGGGCCGTCCTCTCATACACTACATGGAATAGTCTTGGCGAGGCGCAGGAGTGCCATATCCTATGGGTGGTTGGACAAGGGCGCGGGCTATCGGGGCTGGGAGAAGGAGGTTGAAGTGAGGCACCATATTCGGCACCCCCCGGTCCCTTATTCGGCACCCCCCAGCTAACAGAAAAAAACTAGTATCTCAGCAGAATATAAACAGAATACCGAACGCTTAAGGATAACCCTAATTTACTTATAACCCTAATTACCTAACTTAACCCTAATTACTTAACTACGTATCTTTTATAATTTTTCTTGATTTTCTATGATTTTTCTTTGAATTTTTAGAACGTTTTTCGTTATTTACGCGTAAATAAGTGCAAATGTTAGTGCGGATGGCTATATACTGGTTTTAGGTGGGCGAGTATCTAGCGTGCATAGCTTTTTTTTGTATGGGCGTACTGCTAAAAAGGGTTTAAATGGGTGCCGAAGAAGCGACTGGGGGGTGCCGAATATGGCTCCTCGTTGAAGTAGTGCAACGAAATGAGGCTCTCTGCTCGGGGTAATTGCTTGATTATGACGGCGGCGGCACGACGTGGACATTGAAAGTGCGCAGTCTGCCTAAGCGCGCGTTCGCGCGCGCCCGGGCCAATGTCAGGCCAAGTCAAGGCGCTTAATCATGACGCCGGTCGACTGATTGGAAGCGGCAAGCATCAGACATGTGAGAGCGCAAGACGCGCCGAGTTGGCTTACTGATGGACAGTGGCATATCATTGTCAAGGTTCCACAGCCTCTGTGCTCTCGCAAGCGGACGATGCAGGGCAACCCTTAGCACAAAGCGCAAGACCCAACTGAAAGGAATTCTGGAGAATGGAAGCATGTTCGGACCATCAGAAACAACACCAATGCACGGAAAAGAGCAAAACACACAAATCTCAAAACTGTTCCTCTTCTGGCGGGGTGGGTTGAAGGACAAGATGGGACGGGCATGGCAGTTGGGGTACTTCAAACAGGGACTCCCGCGGACTGGCGGGTCTCGGGGTCATCGATGGTTAAATTCGTTCTCCATGAGACAGAGTCCCCCCTTTTCCTCTTCCCAAAGGGTCTGGGCCCGGGGGGGAAGCACGATCCCAACCGATTTGTCCAAGAGACTCGAATGTGAAACGGGGCGGTGCTTGTCGCTCAGTGCTTCACAGTTTTCTTGGCTTCTTCTTTGCGTGTTCCACGTCCATGAGCGACAGGAGGGTGGTGGTCAGTCAATCTATTAGTCGTTCTACCTGCTCCTTGAAGAATAAACCAGAGCAACATCAGCAGAGAGAGAGACAGAGAGAGGGGGGGGGGGGGGGGGGAAACGCTTGGGCACTTTGTGACCCGCCCGGCGGCCCCCTTGGTGGAGCTAGGCCGTTCCACAGCACACTGCAGTGTCCCAACCACCCTTTCCCCGTCTCCAAGACCTGTCACCTTGAATCTTCTATTCTGTTTGAATCCGTTGTCAACCAGTCATGGTCGAGCTGGGGACCTGACCTGACTCCAGCGGACAACTACCCCTCGCAGGTCCATGTCGACGCAGTGAGTTGTTAATGAAGAGTGGCCCTCGAGAGTAATGCAGGCGCCGCCGTCTTCATCTCATCAATGCCAAGTCCGCCTTCGTGGCCGCAACAGTCCAGTTCAGTCAGCGAATTCCTACTCCGTAGGTAGTGTACATTGCATTGAGGAGGCTCCACGGTCTAATTTTGTCACTCACCACTGCCACTACCTTACCTAGGTAGGTATCTTATGGGAGTACGTAGCTACACTTTTCGCAGGCGGGCCTTCTTCAGATGGCGGCACTCCAGTGAACGAATCCCGGCCTTGGATGGAGGGCACCTACTATGTAGGCACGGCAGAGCAGGTTCCATCTCCCTCCTTCCCTCTGCGCTCTGCCTGCGACATCGCTGCGCCGATCAGCGCCCCCGTCAAAGCTTAACTCGGGGGTGCCGCCTTTCATCCTTCGTACCAATTACCTACCTACCTACCATAGAGAGTGCCTACCTTGCCCCAGGTGCCTACCTAAGGTAAGGAGGTTCCTTACATACCTAGGCACCTCGAAGGAGGTAGCTTTTGTTTTGTTGGTTGTGCTCACGAGCAAGCAAGCAACAAGGAGGTCATCGTCACTGCCCGTTGCTCTCGCTCTTTGGCTCCCCGTCACCCGTCGAGAGGGCCCGCAGCATCCGCCATGCCCTTTCTTTAGAGCCAGCCTGCCCTGACCTCATCGCTACTTTCCACCACGGCCCATCCGTTTTATTAGCTTTCCCTTTCCGTCCCTCGTGTGTCTTTACTAGAACTTCATATTCGGACATATTATCCACGCCCAACACAACGCCATCCATTCCCACAACACGCCCAAGTACAACACTAAAACGCAGACGCTTGCCGCTGGCATAAATCTCCGGGCACGCACGCACGCTCACACACCACACACACATACACACATACACACATACACACCGCATCTTACCAAGTACCCATCCGCACAAATCCCTTGCTGTCTTTTGCCATTGCTCATCGCACCCGTCTCTAAAACTCGAGATTCGTCTCCTTTTCTTGGCATCCCAAGTTTCACCACTCAAATACTTCTTCACACACAGTCCCCTTCCCCTTTTCGCCATCACCATCCGTGCTAGGGACAAACAACTTCTCCTCATTCACTCTCTCGCCCACACGGCATTCTCTCACTTCCCCTCCTCTCAACACTGTGCGCAGCCTGTCTTGTCTCGTCCCGTCTCGCCTACACTCGTTTCCCACCCCACGTGTGCCCAAACGCCTGCATTCGCCTTTTGCTTTTTTAAGATACAGGCAAGGGCAGCTTAGATATCCAGACACGGTCCCTGGCTCCAGTCGTACGCTACCCTACGCTGCGGTAGCAGCACCCCCCAAATAATAAAGCCACCGACACGCGACTCCCACTCGACATCCACTTCCAGCCACCCCAACTTTTACCTCGCCCACCATCGAGATACCGCCTTCGGGTACCTTACGGTACGGATCACCTCACGGAACACCTGGCCCGCCGCCCGATTTTTCCTGCTTGCGTCTGGGTTGTGGAACGAACGCCCATCTTCCGCTCTTCTCATCCATCTGTCCGTCGTGTTTGTACGCTCGAACACCGAATGGTTCAACTATTGATGCGCGACTACACGCGATTGCCAACCCGCTTACAACCACGATCACTCGACAAGAATTGAATTGTCGCAATGGCAATGGCGCAAACCCAAGTCCAAACACTCCCTACGCCTATCATCGACGTTTCCATACCCCCTTCCTCCATATCTCTGCCGAATGACCCCAATTCGCGGATGCGCAGTCGTCTCGCGCTGGACACTTATTCTTCGCCCGTGAACCAGAACGGCAGCTTCGAGTTTGACCGCGTTGTCAAAAGCGGTTACCTGCAGAAACGCACCCAGAAGACAAAGGTTTGTCCGAATGCCACCGCAACACGACGTGCGACACCTCTGACTGTTTCCCTAGGCCTGGAAGTCAATCTACCTTGTCCTGCGTCCTACCTCACTCTCCATCTACAGATCCGATAAGGAGGACAAGCTGCGACACAAGCTATACCTCGCCGACTTAACGGCTGTTGCCCTTTTGAAAGATCCCAAAAATAAGAGAAAGAACGTTTTTGGCATATTCTCCCCGGCTAAAAACTACCACCTCCAGGCTAGCAGTGGCAATGACGCAGAGAAGTGGGTAGAACTGATCAGGAACCATGCGCGTATTGAAGAAGAGGACGGTGAGCTCCTGCTTGCTAGTCCCATTGGTGGTCGCCGACAATCCTACATGGCAGCACCAAGTAGTTCTGGGCAGGGTGCGGAAACTACCAGACCCGAGAGGCTGGCATCTAGCTCACCAGAACCATTGGAGCCCCCGGTACCACGATTTGTCGGCTCGGACCGTCGCCGCCCTTCGCAGATGGCGGATTCAGCAGGCTACTCTGGCAACGAGTTGGCGTCACACTCCGATTTCTCCGATAACGACATTCAACGCATTCAAGGCATGTCTATCGAGGATTTGGCGGTGCAATCTCCAGGCGACGGCGAAGGTCTGACATCCCGGCCTAGCCTCGGGAATCGTAACGCGAGCCAGGTCAGTGGCCTCAACTTCGACCAAGACCCGGATCGCGTCATTTGGCAAGGCTGGCTCTGGTTCCTCCGCAGCAAGGGCGGTGTCAGACAGTGGAAAAACCTCTGGGGTGTATTGCGGCCGCGAAATTTTATTCTCTACAAGGACGAATCCGAGTATACGGCCCAGTTCATCAGGCCAATGTCAGCGATAGTCAACGTAGTCGACATCGACCCCGTGAGCAAGTCAAAAACGCACTGCCTCCAGCTCATCACCGAGGAGAAGAGTTACCGATTCTGTGCTCACGACGAGGAATCGCTGATTCACTGCCTGGGCGCTTTCAAAAGCCTCTTCGCCAAGAGGAGGGAGCTTGAGGTTCGTGCCGCAGCTTCAGAACCACTGCCGACGTCTGCGGCATGAGCCAGCATTGGCGAAATCCAGAGTTTTATTTTCGGAGCGGGCGTTTCGCGTTGCATCATTCTTATCCACGACGCATGAAGCTACGATGTATATGGGACTTCACGGAGTCTAGGAAAATATTGTTTTTGGGAGGAAACGGCATTCAGCTGTTGCTGAGGGAACACCACCGACGGCGAAGGGACTCTACACCGATGCGCTCTCTTTGGGGCACGAGGAGACTGTCGATGGATCCCCTTCTATCGTTGAACATGTTAGTATGTTAAGTGTACCAAGTTTACTACGGTAGCCGGTAGCTGCCGACCGTCTTCCATGAGGAAACGGACGATGAATAATGATAAAATAAACACTTCAGAAACCATGCTTGGTTTTCAATCTGCCGTTGAAGGGAGTCTCGTGAAATCGGGCGCAGTGACGTCCTTGTTGATCGCCAAGAGACGCAAGAACGTCGCGAAATGACTCTAATTTCTCACCTTGTACCTTGGTCACTTGATGGTCTAGTTACCTATTGAAGACTGGGAATTATCCAGCCAGAGCCAAGCTTCACCGATCCAGCGTAGCACGGACAGGAACCACCAATGATGTTCAGGAAGTATCGTCAACTGGATAAGTCACCAAGAGCCGGCCCAAGAGTGGCACACGCGAGAGTCTCCATCGAGGGTAGCCATCGGTGCAGTTGGATGAAGGCTTGTGGCGAATGAAAGGGCGCCGGGGGGCCAGGCCGGCCAGCACAGCACAGCTCGGTCGGGTGACGTGGGCTCTCCTTCGGACGGTCCAATCGCGCGGTGGCCCGGGCGCAGCCGCGACCTTCCTCTTGTTCGTCCGTGGTGGCTGCCACCTCCACACCAACCCTCCGTGTTTATCCACCTTCATTCATGCCGTCCCTGGGCGAGACATCCAATCACACGCTGTGACGGCCATGTGTCCAGCAGAGAGCTCCCCTGCCGCTTGCGGGCAAGACCTTGACGAGTGTCGAGGCACAACCGTCTTCTCGTTTCTCGTTCGCTGCCGTTTTGGCCTTATTAACGTCCAACTCTTGATTGTCCCTGACCACAGCCTGCCTGAGTGAGGGATACGACCCTGCAGCTCAAGTCAGCTTTCATCCGAGCCCACCTGCTTTCGAGGACTGACAGGTCGAATTTCCCATGCGCACGAGTCCACGGTCTGGAGGCGAATGTGGATGATGGCTGGCTGCCTCTATTCGTCTTCGTCTGGCCGGATTTGTGGTCTCTGAGGTGAGTTTGGGAAGGTGGGAACGGTCGCGTGCTGTTTGCTATGTGTGCTTGGCTCCAGTGACTATGTATATCTCACCAACTACCCCCGTTCATGTGCTCCGTGTTGGATTGGCCCCAGAGTTGCGGCCCGGCTGTAAGCTCTTGTCTCTGGAAACTCTCAGCTGCCAACTCGGAGTTGGGAAGAACGTCCTCGTGGTTCGATAATACCTGTTGTAAGCCAGGTAAGAACTTCTTCAGCAGCTCCAGATGGATGCCTGAGTCTCGACTAATAATCCTTCGTTCAACCCCCATCACTCACTTGATCCCGTCTCTTTTCAACACCTGTGTTTGTATTACATGCTTTGTTCTCCATGCGCATAGGCTACATTGGTGGCTTCAAGTTTCGAAATCTGTATTGTTACATCCCCCGAGTATCCTGGCTAGAGGCTGTATTACTGGCAAGCCCGTTGGGTCTTGTACCGAGCCCAATCACGGGGTCACCCGCCAACTTCTCGCAAAGATGAGGCTCCTGCTTCAGCTATGGGCCTTAAGCTGGCTCGTCATTCCCGCCCTCACTCAAGAGCCGCAGACACCTCTTTTCTCAACAAGTCGCTGGATCACGGACTCCGCCAACAAACGCGTCAAGCTTCGCTGCATCAACTGGGCGGGCCACATGGAGGTCAACCTTCCAGAGGGCCTACACAAGCAGTCTATCGACTACCTGGCTGATTGGATAAAGCAAGAGGGTTTCAACTGCGTCCGTCTCACATTCTCAACTGATCACGCCTTGAACCCGGATGTCGGGGTCCGGGATTCCTTCACGAATGGTGCCAAGGCAGCAGGCGTCGCGGAGGCAGACCTTCTGAAGCTCTACGACCAGGCGGTTCAAAAGAACCCCTTCCTTGCTGAATTGAACATCACGCAGCGTGATGTGTTTGCACGCGTCATTGACGTCCTCTGGGAGCGAGACATCATGACAATCCTCGACAACCACGTCAGCAAAGCAAGCTGGTGCTGTAACCTCGACGACGGAAACGGGTGGTGGAAGGACGCCAGGTTCTACTGGGCCGCCAACAGTCGCTACTTTGATACGGACGAGTGGCTCGCGGGACTGCAGCAAGTATCGATGTGGGCTTCCACGAGACCGGGCGTCATCGCCATATCGATTCGCAACGAGCTCCGCGCGACATGGACCCAGATCCCCTTTGCCGCCGACCAGTGGTACGGTTACGTGACCCGCGGGGCCAAGGCGGTTCATGAGGCGAATGCGAACGTGCTCGTCATCATCGGCGGCCTCAACTCGGCCACCGATTTCTCACCCCTGCATACAAAGACGCTAGACACGTCGGCCTGGAAGGGGAAGAACGTTTGGGAGGCGCACAGCTACAGCTTCACCGTCACGACGCCCAGCTTTGGAGACTGCAATGTCGAGCGCACAGAGTACGGCGCCCTGTTTGGGTTTGTGCTGGAGCAGGGTGAAGGCTACACCGGCCCGTTGTTCTTGTCCGAGTTTGGCGTGGGCATGAGTGGCGGCCCAGAGGACGGTTTATCGGCCGAGGACCACGCCTATTTGACCTGCCTTGTTGGGTATCTGGAGGGGAACGATGCGGACTGGGCACTGTGGGCGATTCAGGGGACATACTATGTGCGGAACAAAGTCGTCGATTTCAACGAGACGTGGGGGGCGCTGGACAGTGACTGGAAGGGATGGAGAAACCCACTAGTCAAAGGCTTGTTGGGCAATATCTTTTCCGTGACACAGGGCCCGTAGAATAGTTTCTGGACGGATGACAGGAATCGAAGCGTCTCCTGACAGGTTTATGCATATAGCCACGAGGCTCCTAATGGTTCCCCTATTATCTTTAATACCTGTCTCGCCTCTTGTCATGTCGTCATCGGACTATCGGGGCAAGAGTTCTTTCTCATGGAAGTCAACCAGCCTGTGCAAAAGGAGGTCAGAATTCAAGATTTTCACAGGATTCGAAACAATGAGATGAGGGCTGTTCAGGGTCGACGGGTGAGTCCGAGAAGCGGATATTTATCAGTATTTGGGTATCAAACATCTGCCACCTCAGTTATGAGTATCTATAATTTACAGCCACTTGGGCGCGGGGTACTCTATGATGTCGCCTCCTTCACTTCCTCAGACTGGTCGGCTTTTCCCTCCACCTCGGCTTCCTTATCTTGCGCAGGCTCTTCGGCTCGTGGTACATCAGACGGTGCGTCAGTCATGGGTGCATCGGCGTCAGCCTCGGCCGCCTCGTCCGCTACAGGCTTATCTCCATCACCAGCTTGGCCGTTGGCAACATTTTCCTCTTGCGTGCTGTAGATGTGACACTCAAAACTCCTGAAGGTTGACTCAAGATCCTCATTCGTCAGAACCAAGTCAAAGCCCTCTTTGACATTTGACTCCGTGTCAAAATAGGGGGCAGACTTGGAGAGGATGTTTTGCACATCGTCTTTGTACTTGCCAGATTTCTTCACCCGCTCTTCCAGAACCTCCTTACTAGGTGGTAGCAGGAGAACAAACCGAGCTGCGAAGCCAAGGTCCCGGACCTGTTGAACAGCCTGTGAAATGATTAGAAACGTTCGAAGACGACGATGGCGGTGACGTTTTACCTCGCTATCCATGTACATTATCGGGACCTTTCCTCCCTCGATAACGGTCTCTACAGCCTTCCTGCTCGTACCATAGTCCATATCACCGACAGTCGTGAACTCCAGCAACGCATCGCCGTCTCTCATCATGTTGAAGGCCTGCGCGTCCACAAAGTGAAAATGTTGGCCTCCCACCTCGCCTTCTCGCGCCTTTCTGGTGGTGTGTCGAGGCACTCGTGTAAACAATCCAGGATGCTTCTCAGCCAATAGGCCAAAGACAGATGCCATACCAGCTCCTGGTGGCCCTGATATGATGATGGGCCGCTTGTCTGCTGGCATTTCGTCGCTATTGGGGGCCTCTTCCGCAGCTATATCGGCCTCATCTGCATCAATAGGCTCCTCGAATATAGCATCGATCTTGTCTGGGTCATCAATGTTGTCAAACAAAGTTAGCCTTGTCTTGCTGGCTATTCTGAGAGCTCGCCAACTCTTGCTGGCTTTGCTCTCGACGGCAGCGGCCTTTGTTTGGTTGTTCGTGGGCATCTCGATCTCGAAGTCATCGTCAGCTATCTTCCTTTTGAACCCCTCCAGCTCCGGCAAGCTGTATCTCTCCTCGGCCTTGAGTTTCTGCATCGCCGTCTCCTCATTGCCCTCTTCGAGGAAGCCAAGGGGCAAAGAACCCATTGGCATGGATCTCAGACGCTTCTTCGTAGCTGTGCGCTGTGCGCCTTTCTTCGCCTCGAGAAATGTCTCAGGAGACACTGGCGGCAGCTCTATCGATGGGCAGTTCTCTGATTTCCACCGAATCCAATTCTTATCTCTAGCGAGAACAGTCTCAACAACACGGCTGAAGTACGGGCCGTCAGTCCCATGCTTGAGGTACTTCTCGACGATGACCCTCTTCGTCTCCGTCGCCCATTTCGTCTGCCACGCGTTAGTAGCTTTCCTGAGCTTCGGATTCGGGTAACCAAGAGCTACTAACATCTTCGTCGCTAAGAACTTGGCCCACGTAGATGACCGACTTATTCTGCGCATTGCCGGCTAGTTTCTCCTTCACTTTGCTAGACAAGGATAGAAGGAAGTCCATGACGATCAGAGACTGAACGAGGATGTGTCTTCTAAACGATATATCGCTCATCTGCGAAGCAATGAGCACGATTTCTCCCCCATCGAAGCGCCGAAACATACCTCTAGCTCGAATAAATCCCGACTGGTCAGGTACTTTGGGTTGTATGAATTTGCCAGGTCACCCTCTTCTGCGTTTTCTCGTTTCCGCTTCAAGCTTCGCTGGGCCTCATCTACTGCCTTGGGCGGTCTTTGGCCCTGCTCGGCTTGAATCGCTCGGAAGGAGGTCATGGTCGCCTCCAAGCCGCGCTTGAAACCTGCCAGGTTATCTGGTTCAAAGAGCTTCTTTGGTTGGCTGAATGTCTCTTGGAGAGACCAGAAAAGAGGGTACAACACATCTGGGTCGAGTGGCTGATCGGCTTGGACTGGCTTTTTGGCATCAAACGAGACAGCCTTCGTCTGGGATTTCGCGTCCACATCGGCGACCTCCTTGGGCTGGTCCACGTCCATCTGATCGGCAGCGTCGTCGTCCTTGAAGCCGAGGTCATCGTAAACGGTCACGTTCTCAACATGGTATTCGCCTCGCAAGTTTACGGAGCTTTTGTCGCCGAGAGGAAAGCTCTGAAACATGAAGATAAACACCCGTCCGCAAAATGCCGTGTCCTCCGCGCGAGAAAGACGGCGCAGAAGCTCATTACAGCTGCGCAGAATGACCAACTGTTTTTGCTTGAAGTGCTTGACAGTGATCCTTTCTCGCCTCGATTCGAGGAAATCAAATATCTTCCGGCATCCGGCAATGGTTTGGCTGTCCAAGAGCTCCTCCACCAACCAGAACAATAACGCGGGATCGCATTTCTCTTCGTCAGAAAGTATGATGAGCAAATCAAAAAGGTTCCAGACCTTAACGAAATCCGGAGATTCGATCGGTGTTGTAGCCTGTCGGCAACGGCCGCTCGTTAGCTTTGATTCCAGGATTGCTCATGAAGTTGATGTACAATTAGGTTGCTGAACATGTCCCGCACAGCAGTCTCAATTATAGCGAATTGCTGCGCCTTGCTCTGGGCGCCGGTGGCGGGTGCATCTTCCTCTCCGGCAGGCTGCGAGATCTCCAGCACATAGCCAAGCTGGTTGTCAAGATCGCCAAAGTCTGCTTTGTGCAGTGCGGGTTCGATTGCGGGCGTGGACTTGACCTCCGTTGACCGGGCCAACAGACCTTCCAGCAGTTTTGCGAAGGAAACAACTCCAGGCACCTCGTGTCGGTGCGACGCAACGGCGGCCGGCATCTCGAGATTCGCGTGGCAGATAGTGCTCGGATCAGAAGCTGCGGATGAGATCGATGGCGCGTGCCATTCGCAAGGAAGCACCACCTGAGTGTGATCGTCCTAGGTTCGTGTGGATATGGGTGGTGGAAATTGTTGGTGTATGTACGTTAGGTAGTTGACAGCGGTGACGTTCGCGCAAGGCTGAGAAGTGGAAGACTTTCTAGGATCGATTGTTCAGAGCACAGGTAATAGGTATCGCAGTGGAAACAAACACACGGTGCAGTGAAGCAGAGACGCTAATGGCCCGTCGCGGTCCCATCATCCACTAAAGTGCCACTAAAGTGGAGGCTCTGTAAGGCACCTACCTTAGGTAGGTAAGGTAGGCACATCTGACGGAACTTTCCAACTGGCCTGGCCCAGAAGGTACTTTTAGGTACCTCCAGCCAGTCAGCAGGGGTTAAGGATCGCGTCGCGCATGGGGAATTTGGAAACGGGCATCCATGGATGAACTGCCAGAAATGCAAGGCTGAAATTTTTGGAGCTCTCAGGCTAAGCATCTCGACATTGTCAACACTTGCGCCTGCGCGCATCCCGACCCGACCCCGTACCTCTATTTTCTCGATTCGGAATGCGACCGCGAACCTTGGCGCCCAATTTGTCTTGATCAACATCGCCAGAAATGCCCACAGCCAAGCGGCAGAAGAAGAGCGGCGATGCTCAAGCTGCACCGTCTACCCGATCCAAAACAAAAGCTCCAGGCGATCGCCCGACCGTCGCCGATATCCAGGGCGAGAGCTCTTTTGCTCAATTAGCAAAGAAGCACTGGCTCAAGGCTACCAAGAAGCCAGCCAAGGTCAAGGTCAAGAACGATATTTTGAAGCAAGACATCTGGGATGTTTTGGAGCACGATGACTTCCCGTATAAGTCAATCTTGACATTGGAAAGCTTGCAGACATTGGAAAGGTATGCCACCATACACGCAAGCTGATGATAGCCTTGAATAACGAGAATGTGAAGTTGGCTATGGCCTGGATATACAGAAGAATCGTCCAATCACCACGTTTTGTTGGTGGTCCTCCTCGTAAATGTGAAGCGCCGCGAGCAGCTTGAGGCTTGGAGCATATTTGAAGATCGACCCGACGATTTCTCCAGTCTATTCCGCCGAGTTCTTTCGATGACACTCGACCAGACACTCTCGCCTACGATTAGAACCCACCTTTTATCTTTCTTGATCTCGGCGTTCCAGAGTCTCGACTGTGCTATCGTGAGAAAGGAGTGCGCGCCGTTGGTCTCTATCTCGATCTGGCACAACTTGTCAACGGAGGAGCTGCGGGAAGAAAAGCTTGAGCAAAATCCCCATGTGCGGAAAGCATGGCGGGCCGCTGGAAAGAGATACGATGCTGCTGAAGATGCCACGAAGGCAAAGCTGCGATTCGATCGGTCATGGTTGTACACTTTGATTCTGCATTTCTTGAGTTTGATCTACACGGAAAACGCAAAGCCAGGTATGATTTCAGCGTCAGGGAATGGAGGAGAGTTTCTCTGTGCTAATTAAGCCCAGATCAGGTTCTCTACTGCGAACGCCTCGTCGAGTTCTTGACCGACTTGCAGAGCCAGCTCCCAACTCGGCGCTACGTTAATTCTCTACTGATCGATCTGCATGTTTTGTCTGCCATGAGGCTGTCTCCCATGTTCAATGACGAAGACAGAAGCCTGCTGCGAGATCTCCATACACTTCTCCGTCACTACACGTATTTCACGATTGATGACCAAACGGGCGCGCAGCTTAGCCGGACAGAATCTTACGACAAGCATTGCGCAAATCTGTCACGACTACAGAAGGTGG